AAAGATATGGTGGAAGCATAGACCTCAAGTTATTTGTTTTTTCTCCGGTGACAGGGAAGCTGGGAAGTTGTTAAATAAAGGGTAGCTGAAAGAAATCCTGTTTGAAGCAGGAAGTAGTTGAGAGTAAGGCAAATGTTCACTTTCCAACAGGAAAACAGCCTTACAATAAGACAAAACTACAACTATATTAAAATGTATTCATATTAGAATAGTTTATTCAAATTTCAGACTGAAATCTGTGGCAAAATGATATTCTCAACAAATGTTTTTCATCTAATACGACTTCCATTGAGCAAGGAGGGAAGCTGCAAGGTCTCACTGCTGGCAACGACATACCTCAAAAGACAAATATCAACTCAGGTGGAATGAAAACAAATTCTCACAAACATTTTCAGGGTTGAATGTACAAAACCATTATTTTTTTCCTTCCACTTTTAAGTTTGCACAGTTTTTCTAAATTAGAACAAAAGTTTTAAAAAGTTGAAGAAGAATGGATTCTTCCTTGACCTTCTGCAGTTAAATTAATTGAACAGCACTGCGTCATTGTCTGACTATATGACCTGACATTTCGACAAACAAAATGACCCCAAAGTTGGCCTTTATATTCACAGGTCACCCAAACAATTTTCTGTTCAGTTAGCATATTTTAATCTTGCAATGAGTAATGTCCACAACATAATACTTAGTTTCCGCTGTTGTATATCAGTAGAGTTGAGTCAAAATGATACTGTCAGTCACTTGGTCCAGGCTGCTGCATTTCTCAGCATGAGTCACAAGGTCTCATTTAGACACCGAAAAAAATACTGCACACCCATGTAAAATTGTTAACACAAACGGTACTGTTTGCAAAAATAGACTTATTTAAGGACCTTATACATAAGAATTGAACGGCTGACACAGCTGTTGCCTTTAAATTTACTTTTAGACTGTCACACCTCTTTTTGTCGTGCACATTTATAATAAATCAGTTTATACCGGATTTGTGACCAACAAGACAATGAGTTAATTGCTGTCAGAAAGTTTCAATGATAAAACATGTTGATGTAACTTTTGAATCCTTTGCCTGTTAGGACTAATGACTCTCTGAGATACTTTGAGAACACAGAGTTGTTTTTTTAAGTATTTATCCTACGCTGTCACCTGATTATGTTGCACTCCGCGAAAAAATCTGTAGCGATCAAAATCTGTTTCACACCAGAGGTTGTGCAACTTAAAGGTAAAACAAACCCAATCCTGCCATCTTTGGAGTACACAATGGGTAATTAACACCTTGGCAGCGCTGCGTGCTCCTCTTTCTGAGAAACAAGGCTTTGCTGCTCTTGCCGCCTCTCTTTCCTGACACATTTAGCTCGTAGGTACTGTTGAACAGGGGAGCTCAGAGGCACAAGCTGGAACACTTGCAGGCAGGTGTGCATGTTCGTGCACGTGGCGCTTCGATGTCTGTTGCCATGGTGACCCCCAGAATATCCCCACACAATACAATGTTATATTTTTTCATAAACTTTGAGGGCTTTGGGTATACAGTCTGATGTAGGTGCGCAGACATAAACTTGGACTTGTCTCAGAGACTCAGCTTTGTGAAAATTTCTTGATAGAGAATTGCCAAGCCGTCAAAGGCAGCATGCTTACAGCTTCAAAAAGCCACTGCAAAGTATAACATAAATGCATGCAGGGAGAACTAAATGGTAACCAGGAATACTATGTGTGAGTGTTTGTGTGTATCTCGGTGAATAAATGTGACTTTACTCTGTATGTGCGCACAAATGTGTGTATTTACCACAGTATGACTCACAAACCACATCAGAGACTATGCTGCAGAAAACTGAGACAACACAGTTTCAAAGAGGAAGCCAGCTCTGATAAAACTGAAAGAGCAACAGGCACATTTTACACACCGCCAACACACGCACGCACACACGCACACGCGCGTGCGCACGCACGCACACCTACACACACACACATTAACATGCACACAAAACCAGGAAGACTTTATGGAAATCCCCTTTTGTTCACCGGAATGAATTAAACTTGGGAGGATTTTGAACCAAAAATTCAAATCGGACACGTGATCACAATTTCCTCTTGGTTTGCCTTTCAGTGCAAAAAAAATCTGATACATGTTTATCAAGATCACATGAAATCGAGTATTACTTACTCTGGATTTCATAATCCATTGGAAGTTTGGTATTGGCCCTTCTTAAGAAGATTTCAACAGGAATCAGAGTGCATGAGAGCAGCGCTGAACTGCAATACCCAACTTTAACCAGGAGATGTCGACATTGACTAACACATGAGTATTTTAAGCCTTTCACTACAGGGATAAATGTCTCCCTCTATTTGAGGAAATAATTATAGCTCATCCTCAGCACAGCGACAAATTGAAGCAGATCAAGCCACGTATCCTCCTCATATCATTATTTTTTTCAGCCTCCTTATATAGTCTGTGCTGTGTTTTCCATGATATTGAAGGTTAGGAAGGAACAGCCTCTTCCAGCTGAAGTGTGACATAATTGCCTGTTAGAAGCCTCTTATTAGGGAGGAGGGAAGTCAGGACCTGCAAGAATTCATGATGCTAAGTGCCAATTAGCTTGTTCCCCCACATGTAGCTGTACTGTTACAAAAAGTAGAATCCACCTGAGGTCCGCAAGCCACAGATTCTAGAAAACAATAGGATAAATCCCTAAATAAATCCAAAAGCATATTCATACAATTTTCCTCTTGTAAATATTCATTATTGTTCTACTGTTGGAAACAGCAAATTGCTTTTTCGGCGATCATGATAAACAGGACTTGCACTGTTACCTTCAAGCAAGGAGAGTTGGGCTTTGAATCCCAGCCTGGTGACTTTCTGCACTGGATTTATATGTTCTACACATGAATGCTTTGCTTCTGTCTGTGTACTGTGCTTGAGTGTATGCAACTGTCTGACCTGAGCTGCATCAGCAGAGAATACACACCATAGTGAAGTCCTCAGAATGTATTCTTCTTATGCTAGTCTCACCTTTAATGCATGCAGTGAGCTGTGGAGGGAATCCAGAGTTAAACTGATTATAAATGACTGGCTGGAGTGATTAGCTGTTTCAAAACTTGAGTAATTATAATTTGCGTGACTAAAATGTGTTTGGATAATAATGAGGCTTTTTAAAGAAAAGTTTGATTTTGTTTTATCAATTGAATTCATGTAAGTAAAAAATAAAAACCTAACAACTAGGAAAATTAGTTTTACAGTGAAAGGATTAGAACCAGCTGTACTCTTCGCTGCTCTCGATACATAATTCATGTCATTACCTGCTAATAAATCATCAAATCTAAATGTTATCAAGGCATTAGTAAATGTCAATGGGTAAATGACCTTTTAATTAGTCACTAAGTCGGCAGACATGAATGTTAATGGATTGTGCAGATACTTTGCTGCTGCTTTCTTAAAGTCAAAGGGCATTTATGATGCCATTTTGAGAAATTAAACATGAAAACATATTCACAAATTGAGTTTGTCTCTTTGCCATTTGCCATTTCCTGGGCATTTGTGAAAATTCATTGACGGTTATGTTTTAATGATAGAAGCAAATTTCAACAAATGAAAACTATGTCATACTGAGTTCCACACTGAGTTATTTGATTTTCAAGCAGAGTAGCAGTACACTAAGGAAAATATTTGCCTGACAAGTTAAAATTAAGTAGAAAAATTAAACAATGCAAACAAGTATTACTGAAAAAACTATATATTTTACAGTATCAGTTGTAATGTTTGTTTAAAATGGACCATGTGGATCTAGAGAACATCAACCACTTCTGACTTATTTTCAGACCGCTGTTAATTTTTGAGCTAATTAACATGCAATTTGTGTTGCCTACTATTGCAACACTATTGGAAAAGAAATGTCTGGATTCAGAAAGACTACCCTATATAAGGCTGTTGTCCTCATATTGTTCAACAATTAGAATAAAAGGTGTCTCAGTCATGTCACTTATAACACTTTTTTTTATCATGAACTTCAATCAATAGTTCAAAAACTGATGAAATCAACATTAAACACAAAGCATAAATTTATACATTAAAAAAATGATGATTTATGTTCAAAAAGAACGGGTAAGCCTGGTCTTTCAGAACAAAATATTTCTGTCACAGATGTATATTCTGTGTTGTCAGAAACAGGGCAGGGCCACAGTGGTTGAATTAACAATCTGTTGTTTAGCTTTAGAAAGCCCTTTTTTCACCTCACAAGTACAAAGTTAAATATATTTTATTTGAACCATATATAACAGACTACTACTAGTTTTTGGTGGTATATTACATAAAACAAAAAAAACAAAATGTTTGTGATTTTAATGTCACAAAATGTGAAAAGGTTTGACATTGAAGTGAGGCAGGGTAGTTTTGTCTAGAACTAGAAACCAAAGTACCTCAAAATAAAGTAGAAACTGAAAAAAAAATGCAAGAGCACACAGCTTACAAAAATCAAAGTGAAAATGGAGCAGAAGGAACTAAAAAAGTGCTTGCATCTGTGTTATGAAGAGCAAGACATTGATCATTCTTCTCTTGGTTTGATTTTACACTTTAATGCATTTTTATTTCAAAAAACATTACTTAGAAATAAAGCTCCTGGGATTTTAGATGGCTCGGTGAGTAAATGAAGTGCAGAGGCTGTAGTGCTCGGCATTGGGGTCCATTTACTGTTAAATAAAGAATAAAAAAAAAAATCAAAGTTCCAGAAAGGCATCTTATTGTAATTCTATGTAACAGACAAAAGTAACATGACAAAAGGATTACATAATTATCTATGTAAAACTTTTTTTTTTACTACAATTCTCTTTTTCACAGGAGCAATTATTAGAAGATGGACATATTACGTAAAATTAAAACGGCTGAAATGGATTACTCTACAATATTATGTAAACACCTCCTCCTGATCCTGTTGACCCCCACTGTCATCAGTTGGTACAGACCACACTGCCTCACTCATCCCCTCAACACACACATGCACACGCACACACACACACACATCACATCTAAGCTGTACAGCTTCTTACAAACCTACTTAGCCAGTCTGACAGAGTAAGAGAGCATGTGTGTCTGTATATATATGTGTATGTGAGAGGGGGACTCTGCAAAACAGCCAAGATGAGAGTGAGAAGCAGTGAGAGGGAAAACCTGGGGGAAAAAAACTACTAGTCAGACAGAGGGGGAGGGAGGGAGTCAGCGAACACAGCAAAAAGGCAGAGCAGGGAAGAAGAAAGAGAGTTAAAGGGGAATGTCAGCTTACTATCATTGATGGTTCAGGGCACTAAAGTCAGAAGAAATGCAATGACTAGATGACTATCCACTCCACTCGCATCAGCATCTTTTCCTGGAGCCTTGACAGGAGAAAAAATACACACTCAGTCAAAGGTAAACATTCTTCAGCCAGTCCCACATTACTGGATCATGTCATCTACTGGCTCGACAAACCACAACAAGCGTCTGGCGTGTGAGTACAACCAATGTGGCATTTACTCTGTTACAAGTGCAGATGCAGACAAAGTGTCAATAAGTTGATCATAAGTATCTTCTTTACTGTTATTACTCGTATAACTCTCAGCTACTATAGTATAATTGAAATTGCATTCAAGTCTCTTCTTTTGAGACAATTTATTGAGTACATTAAAATAAGATGAAATCTTAAAATAAACTTTGGGATAGCTTTGTCTTCTTCATTACAAGTAATTTAAAATATGTGAGCTCTGTAATAAAACTTTGATCAATACCGACTGCCCTAGTCTAATTCTTATATTATAACTCAAAAAACGCAGTTTTGCTGTTTTGTAATTTTCCTAAATCTATGTTGATGAGAAACTGAACCCAAGGATAAATCTTTTCATTCTTTCCCAAAAACTACTAATGTAATCCTTTTCCTTCCTAATTATCCCTTTTGCTTCCAGCCTCATTAGGAGGACATTAAAAAGTCTCATTGTCCAAAGTGATAATAATAGCTGACGGTCCTGTCTGGCATGGCTAAATTAGCCTGACAGCAATGGTGATGGTGGTGCAACAATGTCGATGCAGTTGAGATTTAATCAGCATGAAGGGAAAAGAACTAGTTATTTCTGCCTGACAAAAGTAAAGCAAAGAAAGTCTTTACATGAGGACTGTACATTACAATTTTCTTCACATATTAAACTGTAACTGTTTCACTGAAGTATAATGAGAAATAAGGGATATCAAACTTGCTGTGAAAGTATATGTATGGGAATGAATACAAGCATTAACCTGGGCTTCAGCCTGACCATTTGAGACCCCTGGAAGCCCTGTTTTCACTGACCTATGGAAGAAGTGGTGGGCATTGTTGGAGGTCATCTTTGTGTTTAGTTTCAGGGATGTGCTTTAATGATTTTGGTAATGGGAATATCAGAAATGCTATATGGTATATATATATATATATATATATATATATATATATATATATATATATATATATGTGTGTGTGTGTGTGTGTGTGTGTGTGTGTGTGTGTGTGTGTGTGTGTGTGTGTGTGTGTGTGTGTTTCCTGCAGTATTACATAGGCTGCCTGCCTGATGGGAGTGCTGGTTATAGAAGAAAGAAGCAGGACAGCATTAATGGCCAGACATGATTTACTTTCTGCGATGTGGCTGTGGGTTTATGGATATGTGTGTTTGGGGGGTTGGGGAGGAGGCAGGGGGAAGGTTACAATTGCGGTGCAGTGATCTCACTCATAAATGATTTATGTTTGATAGACTTCTGTGGCTAAGAGGCGTGCAAAAAAGCAGCGCCTGGCCTGATAAATAAGGGTAGTAATTTCTCAAAAATATGTGGCAGAATAGATGGGTGACACAATCATGGGGATCCCAGGAGGCAAATGAGTGGAAGGAGAAGGAGAAGGGAGGAGATAGATGGGCTGTCAGATGAAAGTGGCCATGCAGCATAACAGCTTGAGCAGCTTTCTCAGCTCTCCAGTTCTGGGTTCACTGGTGTCAGAGAGATGATCATGGGATTTCTAGTCACTTGCCACAAGGGAACTGAATGCTGTGCCATGTGACTTACAGGTTCAATAGGAACATTTGTTCCCTGCTTTCAGTGTGGTGCCACAGAGTGAAACAAAACTGCAGCACTAAATGGTACAGTTGAAATATTGTCATTGTATGGAACAGCAACAGCGTATGCAGTTTCTTTATCTTTGATTGGAAAATGCAGAAGAAGAATGGATTTTTTTGACACTGTAGTGAAAAATAAAAACTACTTAGAGCTTTATCAGCATAAAGTAGATGCAAAAATATTGCATGACTTTCCTGAAGCCTTTGTATTTTACTGCATGTAACTTAGCTGAGTCAAGCAGATACCAAAGCTTTTTCTTACAAATCACTGACTCTACAGTTACTTTATACCAGGACCAACATGTGCCAGAGTCAGATTGCATGACTATTTGGTGCCTTCTTTTAAAATTGTTCTCTTTTCTTATTCTTCCATAATTTAACCCTTCATGGCAAACTCAGTGAAGTAAAGAATCACAGCTACATTTTCAGATAAGCATGTGAGCAATGTTGTCAGGCGGTACAAAACAGAAAGAGTCCATTCCTGGGTACCGAAGGACACAGCTTGAGGATTGCGCTTGTGTTATGCAACAATAAGACTTAAGCAATGATGGTTTAATGTGGCCTACCAAAGGGAATTTTGGAATTTATGAGTAAAGGAAATGAGTCATGAACAAAAATCTAAGGATTTTCAAAGTCAAATAAGACAAAGCTACAAATTTAGCACCAGTAGCAGCATGGACCATTTGTCCTTGGCCTACATATCAATTGAAACTTAAATCAACACTTTGATTGTACTGTCGGTTATTGGAACAATTGCATGGTATTATATGCAACAGGAATTCTGTTCATTTCCTGAATCTGAGATAAACCCACACATTTCAAGCTTTTACATTTGTCTAGATGAATTTTTTTCTCCATTTATGTCTGTTAGAATCCCAAGGACAGAATCTCCAAAACAAAACAAACGTCATGTCACAGCTGATATTCTCTGGTCACTGACAAATCCACAGCTCATATTTTCCACATGACCTGTGTTCTTTTCCCTGGTAAAAGGGTAAGGCATTATTGTATTACACTTTCCTCCAAATGGCTTTTGGAAAACATTGCTTCAACTGTTAGTGGGTGTTGGCTGGAATGAAAAATCAATTTGATTTTAGCAGAACTGTTAAGATGGTCTGCCTTTTGACATCCCATGCCAAAACTGAGGGATTCCCTAGTGTGAAGAATAAGAAAGACATTTGATCACAGGGAAAAGTACAACTGCATTCTCAGCCAATTTGCATGAAGATCTCCTGCAAACCCTCCTCTGCAGAAGCACAGAGGTTGCCTAGATGAGTCACTCTTCTACATATATGTTATCAGCCCACGCAGAGAGAAGCAGATGAGGGCACACAGCTGATCCTGCATGTGGGTTGGATATGACCATTGGTCATCTCATCTTGAGTAATGCAGGGTGATTTTTAGATGCATGGGCAGAGAAAGATGGCAAACAAGAGTCACAGAGAGAGAAAGAAGCCAACAGGCAAAAAGTGAGGTTTACATAAGCTGTGCAGTTTCATCATCATCAAGTCTTGAGTGTGCCTTCAGTGATGGCTTTATTTATTTTAAACCTTCCACTCCTGCCTTATGGTCATGATGTGACCAGTCTCCCAAAAAATGCATTTAGTTTTAACGTGCTAAATGCTGCGCTCTGAACTGATTACATTGTTCCTCTGCTGTATGAGGGTTTCTGTAGGACGACAGAGGCTGAGTCAGATCTAATCATATTTTTCTTCATGGTGGCTTTTCAGAGTAAGTTGGCTACAAGTTTTCGTTCCCAAATTTCTTTCTTCGTTTTTGAGATCTCTTTCAAAGTTCCAAACATCTTTTTATAAGGGTTTGATCAAACCAGAAACCAACAGCAAGAGGGTTTAATGTTGTGATATTGCTTGCTTAATTGGTGTCTCTAAGATTTTATCTTTTAATATAAAGAAGTGCACCTTAAAAATGCTGAATTAAAACAAAATATGCATTTTTCGTAGTAATTATGCAGCTCCTCAAGCAGTGCACCCTGGGCAGAGTGGCATGTTGCCCATATCACTAACTAACAATGCGTGACATCCTTTGCAGATGTTTCAAGGTCACTATTGCAATATATTCAACACTGCAGCCTTCGATTTCAGTCCCTCATAAGCCGAAAAACAAAAACATGTTTGCATATTTATATATTTTTATAATTTATAGCAGCATTTTTTACGCTGAAATATTTTTTATGCTGATTTACAATATTTACCCAGCCCATGAAGTAGTGATAAATCCCATTTATGCACATATAAGAATACAGAAAAATATTATTCTGAGGACAGACAGTGATTTCACCTTAACCCTGTCCCGATTTGGAAAAAAATAATTTCACACTTCTTCTCATCAATCAGCATTTTCACCTCATGATAGTTACCATTATGTTGACATCAAAGGTAATCATTCTCCTAAGAAATTGAAAAAGGTTGTCCAATCCTCTCAAGAGTTTCACAAGAGTAAAGACAACCAGTCTACTCATTCTATGTTAAAAACATTCCAAAAAAAGGAAATGTTTTACCATGGGAGTTAGCATACAATTTCAGAGTGAACCATCCCTATGTAGCAACACTCAGCCATTATATTTACATGGAATTTAGTGTCACTAAATTCCATGTAAATGTAATGGCTTTCATAAACTTTGGGAAACCGAAAGTTTATGTCGAGTTTTCCACTGACTGCTGAAACATCAGAGACTGTAAACCGCTGATTTCTTTTTTCAGACTCCAGGGACTGTTTGAGTGACAGAATAAAGGGTTATGGTTAGTGGCTGACAGTGGACACACATGCCTCCAGGGCAGTCGAAAAATGACTGGCACAATGACAAGCCAGTTCCCTAGAGATAGAGCTGTCCAGGAAGAGAAAAGCTGGGTGACACATATGCGCTGCAAGAGATGGATTTCAACAGGAGAACAATGGTGCCAAAAACTATCAAGATGCTTCTTTTGTGCATCATGAAAACTTATCAACCCTAGACGCTTGATGTTGACAAACTCACAATAAAGGCATAATTTCATCCTTAAATTAGCTGGACAACAATATTTAAACTTTTGTACATGTACAAACCACCCCAAAACACTTGTGACATGAGTAAAAGTGTCAGCTGGAGGAGCCCAGGGGAGAGTCACTGTGTGTACTGAGGAGGACACGGCATGCTTATGCAACCAAAGCCTGTCGGCTTATTGAAAGTCACTGTGTCGGGCAAGCTTACAGTTGGAACAGATGTTCTTATAATAATATATATATATATTTTTTTTCTTATTTAAGGTTTTTTGTTCTATTCTATTTCAGACTTGTAAAGTTAATATTATCCAGATTTTTTTTGTTGCAATTGTCCATATTATATACATACAATATATAATGTGTGTGTGTGCGCGTGGGCATAGACGTGCGTGGGTGTGTGTGTATTTTTTATTTGTAAATCTGCTGTCAAACAAGACACCAAGTGTGAAACTGATGATGAACACTAGAGGTCAGACTACTATCACTGTGTAATAATTTGGTTCAGCGACAAGCAACAGAACAAACTAATCTATCACACCGTCAGAAAACTATACATACGTGTTAGGGAATTATAGATTTCAATGACATACTAGTAAATAACTATGTTTTTATCATAAGGTTCAGTTGTTATTTTAGATTATTGTAACATTCTTTAGTCTTTTTTTTAAATGAAGGTGTGGCAGCAAAACAAGGCTTTGCCAAATGTAGTAACAGGCTGGACTTGTTCTGACTCTCTCAGTATGAGACTATTTAGAGCCTAAACCTTTTCAACGGTTTCTTTGAACTACAACACCATTAGTTGACCACAAACATAGTTTGAAAATTAAACCAGTGATTTCCCCATGAGTCACTGAAAGACAAAAACAGGTAGATACACGCAGAGGTGTTTACGTTTCTAAAATAATTGCCAAAAGCTAATTTGTATTTTAGAAAGAGGTCCAAAAGATTTAAAATGTTGTGGTAATTATTCTTGTGAATTTATTTTTTATTTCTAGAAATAAAAAATAAATTTCAGGACAGAGAACATTAACTCACAGAAAGTGAAGAATATTTCATCATGCCTTTTTCTTTATGTCGTTTGATGCTCAGCTGAAAAGGACAATTCCCAGAGTTTGTATAACAATGATTCTGCTCAGCACATGAAGATAAGAGACAGGCAACGGTTCTTTGAAGATGTCTACCAGCATGATGTGGACAACTACCTGCCCTCTACACACCTACAGGTTGACTGCCGGAAACGTGAGTGCCTTCTACTCCAAGGCGCAGTAAATCTCAAACCGAAGTGAATGAGAATGTTCAAAATATTGCCTTCTGGTTCAAGTATGAGTCCCTATTATATATTGATTATATAGATTTTGATGGAACAGTTACATATTTAGTTTTGTATTTATATCCTGTAGAATTATATATTATATTTGCTTGCTCTGTCTGTCTATCTGTCTGTCTGTCTGTCCGACCATCCTTCTATCCATCCATCCATCCATCCATCCATCCATCCATCCATCCATCCATCCATCCATCATCCATCCATCCATCCATCCATCCATCCATCCATCCATCCATCCATCCATCCATCCATCCATCCATCCATCCATCCATCCATCATCTGTCAGTCAGTCTGTCTGTCTGTCTGTCTGTCTGTCTGTCTGTCTGTCTGTCTGTCTGTCTGTCTGTCTGTCTGTCTGTCTATCTATCTATCTATCTATCTATCTATCTATCTATCTATCTATCTATCTATCTATCTATCTATCTATCTATCTATCTATCTATCTATCTATCTATCTATCTATCTATCTATCTATCTATCTATCTATCTATCTGATTGCTCCACTGCCAGTTGGTACAAAGAACAACTGAAACATGACAAATTTTAAAGAACAGTTACTCCTTTTTAAAAGTGTTTGTATGTTCATGATTTACGAAATGAATTTTCTTTTCCATGCGTTGATCCGGTGCAGCGCCCATGGGCAGTATTTCATCCATGGAGGTGAACGTGGACACTCTGGAGCAGATGGATCTGATGGATATATCAGATCAAGAAGCCCTTGACGTATTCCTCAACTCAAGTTCAGTTGGTGATGAAGGAGCCCTAACATCTCCACTACCAGGTGCGCAACAAAAAAAACATTTTTACTTGCTAATTGGTAAATAAAAGTGTTATACATCTGTATACAAAGCACATTATTCTCCACATCCTGGCACATATACAGCTATCTATTTTGACATTGTTTAACCTTTCAAAGTTTTAGCACAGGAACGACTTCCCCAGCATGAAACAAAACGTAAACTGCTCAGAGGGAATTCTGGGAAGGCAGGGGTAAAAGAAGAGGTGACTTGGCCTCAAGACATAAGACTCAAATTTCACGAAATCTGCTTGCACCTATAGAAGAGAAAGCACACCTACTGCCCCAGGGAAACTAGCAGTGGAGCTAACATTCCAACACCATGACAAAAGCCAACTTCCAGTTTTCTGCCATGGTATAAGTACAATATACCACTGTCCTGCTGCTTTTAGATGTGCCACAACTACAAAACAATGGGATGAAATGGCTTAGATTACCTCCTTCTTGGATAAATACATTCTCCAGAGCCTTGTTAATGACCTAATTATTCTATTCAGTTGTGGTGCAGGAGAGACACATTTAAAAGTTGCAGGGCAGTGGTCTTCTAGGACACCTGTAGTATAGTTCAATGAGAATTTATTTTTGGGATGCCAAGTAACTGCATAAAATATGAGGAGTGGCAAGCGTTAGTCTTTTCATCACAGGTTAAGAGAATCTTTGTTATGACCTGTTCTGATGACAGCAACATTTATTTTTTTGACAGGTAGGGGGAAAAAAATCTAATTAAAATCACCTCTGTTTACTACTGATATTTTTCTTTTAAGAGCTTTTAATTTTTACAGCATCTTTTTAAAAAGTGAAATTTCAAAGATTTCTAACTTTTTATTGGAGTTTTTTTTCCAACCAGAAAGCAATTTTATTATATTAGAGGAAGATATGTTTTCTAGTAAATGTCAGAACTTGGAAAGAAGGAAATGTGTGAACACCCATGGGAAAAATGCAGGGTTATGTGCTATAAAATAGATGCATGTGATAATTAATCTCATCTACATTTCCAGCATAATTCTTCTGAAAAAATATTTTTTAACGTAAAGGTGTAAAAAACAACAACATTGCAGCAACCTGGCTGCATAAGTGTGCAGATTAAACACATTAAATTCATGATTCATTGACTCATGACTTTAATGTGTTTGAATTGCAGAATTCTGTCCACTTCAGCTGTCAGATTGACACTTATAGTCAGTCTGATTAACCTAATGCAGAGAGAAGCTGTCCCTGATGAATTTTCTTCTTCCTCTTTCATGTACGTTATTTGCCTACAGCCATAGCTGAGACATCAAATTAAAGCATTTATTTGTGTAGAATTATTAATCATAAAGAGGTCGGCCGGGCCTCTTTTCTATGTCTTCAGCTTAGTCTTAGTAATATATATATATATATATATATATATATATATATATATATATATATATATATATATATATATATATATATTTTTTTTTCTTTTTTTTTTAAAAATGTTCTTTTTAAGTAAAATTGATTTGGATAAAAGCAAAAACACTATGCATTTACATACCAACTACGTTTTTACAGCATTTAACATGAACAGTAGTTATCAAATTTACTTCACAGCAATCAAAGTGAAAGAGAGTAGGTAATTGATTGAACTAGTGAAGCTGGCAAAAGGCCGACACTCAAGAAGCCCCAAGTATTGTTTTGAACATCTAGGCCACAATTCTAGATGGTAATTTGGTACAAAAATACCCAAAGATGAACACGCCCATAGTCAAGCGTAACAGCAGCAGCATCATCATGCACTGGGTTACTTTTGCTCTAAAGTAACTGGCATTTTTGTCAAGGTGGTTAACTTTGTGAGCATCATATTTGACCCAAATGTGACACAAAATCAACAACAGAAGAATATTAAAGTTTTTCTAATGAATATTAAAGTTGCGAAAGCCGTAGTGTGAAAAAATTCACATATCTTGGAGACACTAACATTGCAATAAAACAACACAATCACACTTTAGGCTCTTCTCTGTGCATTTTAATTGAACATTTATCAATTTAAAAATCTAAATCTGTTAAAAAAACGACTGTAACTTGTTGTTGTTCACCTAGTTATAGATTGTGAGGACGATGATGAAGATGAAGTGGATGAAGAAGCAGAGGTTGTCTACAGGGAACGAGCACCACTGCAAAGGCAAAACGAAGTCTACCGTGGATCCCAGTTTCGATTTTCTTCAACATCATCTGGTTCCAGTGTTACCAGTGCAGGCGGAGCCGACACACCAGTGATCCAGTCCGATGATGAAGAAGTACACGCCGACACTCTGCTGCTAACCTCTGTTCCCAATGCAAGAGACGACGAAACAGAGGAAGAAGATGAAGAACGATGCTTTTCAACAACCCATCAAAAGGACTGACTATTTCTCTTCCCCCCCGTGCATAAGCATTCTTTTTTAATGAGCTGAAACGCCCCGCATGTTTGGGTCAACTGTGAATTCTTTTGTCCTTTAGATTGTGCATTCTTGCTTATGATTTACCAACTAACCACCTTTACTTTACAAGCTCTGTGGCACAGTCATTTGATAGTTTTTTTGGCAGTTGTGTCAGAAGACGTTTGTCAGTGCAATAAGTAAATTTTTTTGCCTGAGCTTGTTCTGATTGACATAAAACAAGTTCAGCTTTATTCCTCAATTTGCCAGGGGGATCCTTGTGACATATATTATTATTAAAGGCTCAGATTCTCAACAGATGAACAAAGAAGTAAAAACAAGATCCCCAATTGGTCAAAATTCATGACTTAATTGAAACCTCAAATGCACAAGTGGGTGCGTTTCAGGACAAATAAAGAATTAGGTTGGTTTTAGGAACAACTGGTTCCTAGAACCTTTACTATAGCTCTGTTTCAAAAACATAAAACTCGTCATGAGTTGTAAAAAGAAAACATATCTGTTTTTTGAGAGAAACAAAATACACATTAAATCAAGTAAGTCAAAGATCTGGTTATGAATGAAAGCAGTTCCTTCATACTTTTAATGGAAAGCATGTGAGAAAAGAAGCCAAGAAATAAAGCTGATAACGGACTGGATATTGTAAGATATCCAGTAATAAAAACACACACCACAGTATTAAATAAATCAAGTGTAAAAACCTCTGTTGATCCTGCTTATGGATTTTCTTTTTATTCCATGTATTTTAGACAAATCCTTTTGAAGTTTGTTGGATCATTTGCAGTGTATTCATAATGTTGCATTATAAAACACAGTGCCTGTTATTTTTTTTCTGTTAGCAAACAAGATTATGAATCAGACCTTAGTACTATTTCTTTATGCTCTTCTTTTTGCAGTTCTCTTTGTAAACATTGTCTTCAAGCAGGAATAACAAAACTTCCATGAGTACCTGCTCAACAGCATGTTTTGACTTTCATTGTTGTTAACTCTTGCATTATAAGAGTTGTAGTTAATCCATGGAGATTAAAAGCTCGTTGATGTGTGAAGAGCTCAGAGAGTTCAATGGGGACATTTTCAGTTTGAGGTTAAGCCGTACATTTTTTAGGGACTGAGTTTTGTTATCAGAAACTGAAAAACAGAAAAGGAGGAGGGAGTTACTGGATTTTGTTATGTTAACAAAGATACAAAAACATGCCAAAATAGTGTTTTCGTGACAAACAATGAGTGTGTGGGAAATATATTGGGTTCGATTTTCTTTTTCAATTTAAATTTTTTAAATTAAAAAATCTCCAGCCCAGAATCAGGGAGTGTTGCGTGTTACACAATGGTACATTTGTTAGCGCTGTTGGCTTGCAGCAAGAAGTCTCTTGTTACACATCCAAATCTATAGATTTTGCTTTTTTTTTCTCACTGAGCACAAGTGAGAATTGTGTGAACTTTCTCACACAATTTTATACCCCGCATTTCTACCAGGGACTGCTGGTGATAGGCAGATGGGCGCCCTGCAAGGATAAGAGGGTAAAGATTGCACCCACACCCCATAAAAAGGTCCACTTTCACAGTCCTCCATTTCTTGTCCAACATATACACAAGTTAAAGAGAAATAGTATGTAAAATTGACTTTTTGAGCTTTACTTTGTGTTTTAATGTTATTCATTTAAACAACTGAAGATTATGTAGTTACTTGTGTTATACAGTGGCACTGTGTTCTTATTAATAACCCCTTTAGCAGTTATCAAGGCATTTTTGTGCAAATTAATGAGTTGGTACTGAAATACAGAGTGAAAAGTAATTCATACGGTTGCACCATTGTGGCGCTATTATCCTGCTGACTCAGGATAATATTGTGGGTCAATCCAGGAGATTGGCTCCACCTGTGTCTTCTGGAGTTGTCGACAAAGTAATTTTGGGGTCATCTGTGTTGTGATTCCCTCCAATAGATTTCCCATCATGCCAATCAGCAAACAGAACCATTAGTTGCCAATTTTCCGCCCTATTTCAGAAGAGTAGTATGACTGCAGTTTTGACAATAGCAGCTTAGGAAGTGACTGAAGCACTTCAGTCATGTTGGCCATGCTTCCACATATTGAATTAACATTAACAGCCATTTGGTTCCCACATCGTGGGGAAATGCTGGCGATTGGGTAAAATTTAAAACAGGAAGCAGTTGTTCCTCATTAGACGAAAGCCCAGACCCTCTATATGCAGCAAATAGTGTAGGACAAGCAATTGTGTTTTTATTTTTTAACCAGGCTTTCTGACTACAAAATGAAAACACAAAAAATACACACCTGCTTTTCTTTCGTACTCAGTAGTTTTTGAAGTAGTGATTTTACATCAACCACTGACGACAGAAATAAAATATATTTGTAAAGTTTATTCTGTTTGCATGAAGAAAGTATTTTGAACATTATGAATGAAATGGGGTTTTTTTGGGGGTTTTTTTGCAAACGCATGCCCTTTTGTTCTTGTAGATGTATGCTTATATGTTCTTAGTACTTTCTAAAATATCCCGGGAATGCCTGTGTGAAATATGCTGTCCTTGTTAAAGAAGAGGACTCCTCATTTACGGTGTGAACAGATGGAGAAAAAATGGCACACCCTAGAAGAGTTTTATGTGCTCATGATGTGTGTTAAATTTATTTTGTAAATGCATAAAGATGTGAGTGGTGCAGCACAACAGTAAAGCTGTTAATAAAGCAATCCCAGAGACTTTTTTTTCTGATACTTTTTCCCCACCTTAAAAAATGTCACCATTAAAATTAACCTGTGAGTAAACCTGCTGAATGTACTTCTGCTTTTAGTGCCTTTCTTCCCACACCTTTTGTCCCCCCAATTTCAAGGCTTGTTCTCTCTTGTAGAGTTTTAACATGTTCTGAAGAAACAGAGAGGCATATTCACTATAACAGCTGTCAAGATGCTCCTGAAGCCTGGCCTGTACTTGCTTGTTGGAAAATTTGAATATAACTTCACAGGCTTTATTGTACCGACACACACTGACTCATTTCATGCGCTCAGGTTTCCAGTGCAACTTGTTTTGCAAGTTTGGCTTTAACCTGAATGTTCTCTGCCTGTTCCTGGATGCTACAAATGTGTATGGCTAATGTATCAATTATGAGGACAGTTTTGAACCACACTGACAGTAAAACCCTCATTACATGTTGGTTAAATAGAATATTTCACTTAGCTTTAGGTCAATGTTTCTCAATAGCATTCCAGCCCCAAATCTAATTTTAATAACTGTGTACTGTTATAATAACTATGTAATAATAGGCTTCAGCAGCACTAACTGCATGAAGAACGGGCCATGCAGTCATTCAAAATAGATGTGCTGGAACAGAGATGCATCTAAAACATGTAGGACAGGGAGTCACACCTTTAGACAGTAAAAATCCTAAGTGCTTCTCAATTCCAGTCAGGGACCACTACCCTGCATGTTTTAGATGTTTTCCTTCTGCTACATATCTGGCTTGATTAAGTGGGTGGTTTACAGGTGTCTGCAGCCGAGGAGGTCATGCAACCATTTCAATCAGGCGTTCAGAGATTTTTCAGATTTTAAATTGTTGTTCTATTTTGAATTTTGAGCTAACCCAAAGATACAGGGTTAAAAAGTTTGATTGAGAAAATATATAATAACAAACTCAAAATATTTAGCTGTACTCAGTTCATTTCTCCGTGTCCATTATTGCTTGAAAGTGTTGTATCAGTTCATTTCTTTGTGTTTCTGTGTTCTATTCTTTGTGCATTTGAATTAGTGTCTCTTAGATGACTGTCTTCTAAGAGGCAGTCTTCTTCTCAGTATGCAATCACAAAACTAGTAGTTTCATAGCTCAGTGATGCTTTAATTGACAGAAGTTTTGTGAAAGTGATATCCAAACATTGTCGAAAGGTATGTAAGCAGAGGAGCCGAACTACTGTGGTTGAAAAAAGTCATATAGCCTTGCATGACATGGGATTTCATTCATTTGACAACAGGGAGTATACAAAAAATATTTAATTCCAACAAATGAAGTTGTTTTCATTGTGGGATTGGTCTGGACTAGTCCCGGTCCATTTGCAAATCAGTAAATTTCCCAGGCCTAACAAAAATTTTGCTTTCAAGAAGACATATATGAAGACATAAGATGAAGACTTTGGGCTGAAAAAAAAAAAAAAAAAACAAGAGAAGAAAAGTGTGTGTTATTTCTAAACATAACCAAAGGCAAAGTGAGTAGCAATCTCTGAACTGAAAAATGTGAGTTCAAAGTGAAAGGAGAATTAAAATGACAGGAAAAATACACAGCGACTAATGCAGAAGAGATTTCTGAGAAAGTGACAAACTGATTCAGAGAAAGTTTGATAATTAACTATAGTTGGTGGTTTTGTGGATCTCAAACAGAAAGGTCATTATTAATTCAAGAAATAAAATACAACCCAGAACCATAAGTTACATATCATAACAAAAAACTGTAAAGTTTCAGGAACATGAAAGCTTGCTTTATTCTTGGGCTGACTGATTGTCAAAAGACAAAGACATTTATTTACATTTAAAACTGATCCATTTGGGAACGATGTGGGTGGTTGCATGAGAAAATAAATTATTCTAATTACCATAAACTTACCTAGGGCTAAAGTGAGAGGGAGATGTGCTCTGGTTTCTTTTGTTTCCTTGCCAAACTGTTGCTTTCAGTAACTTTACGTCAAATGCCGAGTTTATTAGATGTTAAATTTAGTGATAACACAACATGATCAAGTTACAGACAAAGAAAAAGTAGGGGAACGTTACCAGATTATTGGAGAAAACCTGGATCATACAAAAGTATAGATAAAGATTTTACATAAGAGGACATCAGATGACCAAATGAAATAGCCTATCAGGAAGAAAAATTTCTCTACTATACTGAGTAGAAATGTTTCATATTAAGTTAAGAGGATCTTGTAGTTTCTCACTGAATCACTACAAAAGCACAAGAACATTGTGCCTGATTCATATGGCAAAATGTTAACTTGTTTTGTTGAATGTATTAGGATTCAGAAATAGATATTTTCTTATAACTTCTTAAATAGTGGGAACTGTTACATCTGAACAGCTTTACAAAAGGATTTCAACTCTGCATAAAATTTTGAAAAAAAAAAACTTCTATGGCTGTTATTTGAATATATATTTTTATAAAACATATAAAAATGTCTTTCTAATATATAATATTTCTGTTACAAGTAATTTTTATTTAAATATAAAATAAATCCAAACTTCTTTTAGCAACAGCTGTTGATTTTGTGAAAGCTCTAAGCTTGAATTTCGTGTATGAGGAACCAAAGTATACATAACACATTGTAACTTGAGCTGCATACCCAGAAGGTATACACCTGAGCAAAGGCGTACTTGAAATATTACAGTGTGCAAAAACTTCACTCTCTCTTTGTACAGTTACAAATACGTTCTAAGTAATTTTAAAGCATTTCAAAGCATTGCATAAACTTTTATCGGATAGAGAAATTCATATCACTTTGAAAAGGAGACACTCCACTTGAACAAACAGATCTTTGTTCATTCCACAGTCAGCCAATCTGATGCCTCTGGGCTTGGCCTCCACAGCACTAAGTCAACTTGCCTCTGCCACAACCACAGTGTTTACAGAAAAAACAAGGATCAGACAGAAGCAGGATGAGGAGCCTTTTTTTCCTTCTCATGGTAAGCCTTACATATTTTTAATCTCCAAACTGTATGTAATTACTAAGAATTACCTAAATAACATATTTCAATTATACCAAAAGTTTCAGATTTTTAAATTGTAAGATTTGTATCGCTCATAAAGTTGGAAATAAGATTACAGAGTAGATGCAGTATTGGTAAAACTCAAATCTGTTTGTTTAAATTTTACAAGTATCCATTTGTTTTATGGATACTTTTGCATCATTTTGTGCAAAATGATGCAAAAGTTTTCTCAAACGTTTGCATCATTTTAGATTACACATTGATTAAAATAACTGAATATGAGTGAAAATAATTCACACTGTACATGAATCTAATATCTTGATTATTTTAATCAAACTTCTTCACTGAACAAGGTCGCACCTTTCCATTCCAGTTCCAAATATGTTGATAGGGTAGTTTAGCTTGGAGATGTTTCACTTTACTCTCGAAAGACATTGTTTTTTGTTGTGCACAAAAAACCTTTAAAATAGTTATTATTGTATGCACACCTGTATGCCAGTCCTCAGATCATCCTCAAGCAGAGAAATAACACGTCTCTGTTTGATGAGTTTGTTTTTAATGCTTTGAATATTTTATTTTTAACTCTGGCTTTTGTCAAAGTTTAACAAGAACACCCTGTATCATAAAAACTCTCCCTTTAAAGCTGCACTATGTAACTTGTAGAATTATCAATTTTTTTGCATATTTGTTGAAACTGTCACTATGTTGCAACAGACTGATGTGAGACATATAATCTGCGAAAAGATCAAAGCTCTCTGCTTTCTCCCTAGTGCCTAACTAGATACAACCAATCTTAGTGTTGTCAATCACCCTCATTGTGTTGCTGCTCACCTCTTTAATTTCTGCTACGTTTCCTGTAGCAGAGCCTGTTGTGAAAGCTCTGGCTAGTTATCATGGCGGCGAAGAAACCATTTTTCAGTAATGGTAACGGATTCTCCGCCATTAGCACATGGAGCAGCAAGTGCAAGAGATTGAGTGATCGCGTAAACACCTTCCTCCCGGCTCTGACTGCTTGCTATTGGTTGGAAGCAGTACATTTCTGCAGTCGTCATTAGTAGCTCAGCAAAAAAATTGATCTTTTCACACATTATCTGTCTCATATTATACAGTCACAACATAATGTCAGTTTTAACAAATTTGTACAAAAAAAAAATAATACGTATTTTTTAGAAAAGTTACATTTTGTAGCATTAGTTGTCTTTACTGCCTTTAACTAAAATGAAGCATCTCAGGTTTTTTTGTTTTGTTTTGTTTTTGTCAGAGTACTCCCAACAGTAAATGCAGCTGGTGAGGAACTTTAGATAATCACTGCATTTTTTCTCTGATTTAAGGTAAAGAAAACAGAATATAAAACTCAAATAAATAATAATAATAGTAATAATAATAATAATAATAATAATAATAATAATAATAATAATAATAATAGTAATAATAGTAATAAAATTAAACATGAATTTAATTAAATGTCATTTTCAAATTTTGAACTAAAATACGTAAACCATTCTTTGTTTGGCTGGTATTAATCTATTTTAGATGGCAACCTCACATAATTTCACATATGAAGAGGGGTTTTGGTTATGCAGTAATTCTTAATACTATATGCACATCTGTGAAACTGATACTTTATAGTCCATTAAATGCAAAAAAAGAAATAAAAAATCATGAAATGCACCAAGCACAAAGCTAAATCAAATAAGTTAAAAAGGTAAAGCAATCAAGCAAAAAATGTTTAAGCACTTAATTGTTCTTTTTTAGTGAGTTTGGTGGAAATAAACATTGTCTCAATGTCTCTTTGTTTAAAAGAGTAGTACATTAAGAAAGTAACCGTCTGCATGGCAACAACTAAAACAGTGACTGAAGAGGATGAGAAAGATATCTTTAGACCTGATCTGCTTTCGTATGAGTGGCTTAATTACAAAATATCTGAAGTGAGAGTGGTTTTACGCCAAGAATCTCACAGGCCTTATTGGTCAACTGGCTTAGAACGGCTGTAGTACCAAGACGTTATTTCTCACAAATTGTTTTCAGATGTAATTTTACATCTTACTTCAACAGAACAATCTGTAAGAAGGAAAAAAAATAAAGGAGGGCGATAATCTGGTTGCAAAATGTGCAAATCTTTTCTATAAATCTTCTTTGATTAAGTAGTAGCAGCAGCAGCCACATCTTCTCCCTGCAATTTTTGTCCACATGAAAAAGTTTTCCACAATTATCAAATCTCTTGTTTACTTCCCCTTTCATGAGAAACCACAGTTTATCTTTGGGAATCTGTTCGATTAAGGTTGTTATAACTGACTGAAATCAGGAAGACTTAATGCCAAAATAGGATCAGAAGGTCATCCTGCAACAATCAATTTATGTCAGGGTCTGTGCATTTATGTAACTGGGTTGTTGAAGTAATATATTTACTTTTTACATTCTTCGGTTTGCTTTTTTCTGTAAATTAAATTGTGATGCATAAATATTACAGAATACAGGCAGAAAAGTTCATCCCTGTCTCACTACCAGATGTTGACACTTTTCAAGCCTCTGTCAAATATTATCTCATTCCTTTTCAAATATAGTCTTTTCATGTACATGTCTTGTATATCTTGCATTTGCTCTTTAACAACAATTTATATAGATTCAATGCTATTTTAATTGAAAAAAGACAGGTAAAAAAATTAAATGAGCAGTGAATTAGGCACGAAAAATTTCAACATTGCTTTTCTGTGTCCTTGTTTTTCTGCCATCTAACTTCACAGAAGCATCTCAGCTTTATCGTCTTTTAACGGTGAAAATAGCTGAATGCAACTTGTTCTTTATTGCATTTTTTCATTGTTTAACTATTTTTAGAATTAGAAAACACACTAGTGGCCTTTATTTGACAGTAATCTGGCAGGAAATGAAAAGGAATCAACGGTAAAAGACATAAGATATTTTATACTGTTTGTCTTAATCCTCAGTTAGGACATGACTTATCAAACACACACGTACTCACGCTCTCTTTCTGTCTTCACAAGGACTTTGCATTAACCCTAACCTTCACCCTTCCATTAATTTTTTTATTAATTTCTATAGCCTAACCTTAACATTTAAAAATTTTTGGACCTAAACTTAAACTAACATAAACTCTATTCACACCTTAATCCTTGGCAAAAACCCTAATTTAAAAGCAGCACTTTAAAATGGGAGCTTTGCACCCCATAGGTAACACTTGGTCCCAATAATGTAGAATTTGTTGGAAAAAAAATGGTCTTGACAATTCCACACACTTGCAAAAATGCCTCTGGAGAAGGCATCTGACCTCAAGTTGCTTAATTATCTATGTATAAATGCATACATGTATTGTGAGTGTAAACAGGTTACTCTATCTTGTAAAGTGCTTTGAGTGGGCAGCATGATGGCAAAGGCACTCTCTGGAGTCAGTCCATTTATAAACGCACATATTGACAACAAACCATTGAGAAAATGTAATTTCTTGTTTTTTTAATGAAACTCAATCATACCGTTGCTGTTGACCCAATTTAGAATGATCTTCAAGGGCATTTAAAGTAAAACAGCAGGAAATGTCAATTGATTTATCTATTTAGCTTCACGAATGTTACAAATAATAGTAGCTGAAGCAGAAAGTGTAAAACAGACATAATTTGAACCTTTTCTTCTATACTTATGAGCCAAAAGTTTCCAATAATCAAAAGATAGTCTCTCATAGCTATGAAAGTGCAATTATGTGCATTTGTGAATAAATGAATATTGAGCTTTTTAGTGAAAATATCTTTGAATTGAATGGACATGGTGATATGCTCCATCTTGTTGAGAAAGGTAAAAACAAGGGATATAACTTTGAACTATTATGATCTAACTTGAATAAAAAAGTAACAAAAATGTAGCAAGTGAAAGAAATATTGGAAGAAAGGAGCAATTCATCTTTATAATTTAATCATGTTACTTTTTTGTACTTTCTACCCACAGGTTGCAATAGCATCCTTGGGAGAGAGCAAGGAGGGCAGTGAGAGGCATCAACGAGCCAAACGGGTAAATGGATGAGAATTTTTAAAGGAACTGCTGACAACATTTTTCTCTAAAAAGAAGCCTCTGTAATTATTTGCTTGATCTGCATTTTGGCTTCAGGAATCCTTGTCACGTTCCAAAAGAAGATGGGTCCTGAATACCATAGAACTAGAAGAGGAAATGGACGTGAAATACCCATACAAAATTTCCACGGTAAAACACATATTTTATATATAAAACATATATATATATATATATATATATATATATATATATATATATATATATATATATATATATATATATATATATATATACACACAATAATGTGTCGATGCCTATATAAGGTTAACAAAACCTACTGCTAGTAACTTGATTATATGTCTGTCTCTTTTAGATGTACAATGACAAGAAAGAAAATGTTCAACATGAGTTTCAAATAACTGTAGAGGATGGGCCCGAAGGACTGTTCACCATTAATAAAACAACTGGGGAAGTTTATGTACATAAGCGCCTCGACAGGGAAAAGAAGAAATCCTATCATGTGAGGAACGATCCATCACTATTAATACCTGTGATGATATGTAGTTTTTACAAACTGTGTCATCTGAATAAATTATAATCAACAGATCACATTTGATGTCTGGGACATAACACTAGGAAAAACAATTGACAAAGAACTGTCTTTTGATGTGGACTTAATAGACATAAATGACAACGCACCGAGGTTCACTAATAAGTTTGAGGAAAGTTACTATGTGAAGGAAAATACGAAAAAAGGTAAGTTCAGAAACCTGCAGATATGTGAAAAAAAAGTCTGCAGATTTTCTAAATTTTGAAACATTTCTTAAAGTACATACAGCGAAAATTATAAACATGCTGTATGTTGATTCAAAAAAAAGTAGCTTCTTACGTTGTAATTTCTTGATAAATGTCAGTGTAATGTTTAGATTAATTTGGCACATAGGTTGTGTATTCTTATGTTTAAGATTTCTTTTTCCTTTTTATGAAGTGAATTCTGCGAATCTTAAAACGTTTTTTATGGAAATGTGGGAAAAATGATGACTGATCATTTTCATAATTTTCTTTGCCTTCCAGGAGAGTACCTGCCAGTGTCAGTGAACGTTATAGACGACGATGAACCAGGCACAATTAACTCAACAGTCGTGGTCACTGTGGGTAAACAAAGCCCAGCTAAACCAAAGATTGGAGTAAAGAAAATTGATGACAGACTACATCGACTTGTATCTGAAGGATGCTTTGACTATGATGTAGGGTTTTTTTCCATTAAAATAATGCAGTTTTTGGAAGTTCACACAAGCTAAAATATGGTTAACTTTATTTTTCAGGAAGCAAAACAGTATTCAATTGTTATTATTGCCTCTGATCTTGGAAAGACACCTCTTTCCAGAAATGTGACTGTCATTCTCAATATAAATGACACAAACAGTAAACCACCCAAGTTCAAGAAGAGAGAGGCAAGAATTACTCACGATATCAATGTTTGTTTGGTTGTTTTTTTTTTTTTGTAAATTCCACTAAATGTATTATTTCTCCATGTTTACAGTATGAAGCTCAGGCTAACGAAACGCAAATCTATAAAGAAATTTTAAGAGTTGGAGTAGATGATGAGGACACTCCCAACACTGACGGCTGGAGAGCCAAATACTCCCTTATCAGCGGCAATGAAGATGGAACATACAATATTACCACTGACCCTATAACAAACGAGGGGATTATTGGTGTTGCCAAGGTAACTGTTTTACCACACCTTACAGAAAATGTTTATTCATAGTGGACTAAACTATGAGTTTAGCATAAGTATTGTTAACATAAGTATTATAAAGAGTTACTGAACATCTACACTTGTGTCTTCTTCAGGGGAAGAATTTTGACATAACTACTTTGGTAAAACTGCAAATCGAAGTTGAGAATATTGAACCTTTAAAAGTCTGTAAAGATGGAAAATTAATTGAAGATCTAAGCAACCTTCCACCAAAAGATTCTGTCAGCATCACAGTGAAAATGCTTGACACTAATGATGCCCCAGTGTTTGAAAAAAGTAAAGAAAATGTATACCAGACAGAGGAATCAAAGGAAGGACAGGTGCTGTATACTCCTGTGGCTAAAGATGTTGACTCCTCTAACATCAGGTATGTTCTCAATGAAACTGCATTCATGTTCAGCATTATTTGTTTTCTTGGCAGCAAAACTATTTATAAGGTCAATCAGTAATGATGAGTTAGCGCTCTTACAACTGATCATCACTTGAGCAAGATTTGTGAAAGTTAATATGTTTTAGGAGTAAAGAAAAAAATTTAATAAATTGAAATGAAACATTATTATTGACTATAGTGTAAAGAACGAGATGTATATTATGCTGTAATGCCTCTTCTAATTGTTTGCCCCAACAACATTAGAATCTCTGAGCTGGGGTGATTGCAATGTGTGGGTTTCTGTGAAAGCCTTATGAATTCTTGTCATATATATGACAAGAATTGACCGACTGATTTTATTTTATTTTTTCCAGGTTTGAACTGTTAGAAGACCCTGCTGAATGGGTGACTATCGATGAAAAGACAGGAAAAATCACAACAATCAAAAAGATGGATAGAGAGTCACCTTATGTAGATGAGAACAATATTTACAGAATTGTTATTGCTGCCATTGATGATGGTATGACAAGACATTTCTAAACATTTGCAATAAAAAGGCATACTTTATTAATTATTTAACTGAACTGAAACAAATGACTTGTTCTGTGGTTTTCAAGGTTCACCTCCAGCCACAAGTACATGCACAGTCAATGTCCACCTCAGGGATATCAATGACAACACTCCTACGCTGCTCAACAATACTGTCATTTTGTGTTCAAACGAAGCTAACAAGGTCATGGTGCGTGCTAAAGATGCTGATGCTGATCCTTTCAGTGGCCCCTTCAGTTTCTCCTTGGCAGATGATAAAACTGCGACAGAACGCTGGAAAATAGAACCTGAATATGGTTGGTCCACACCTTTGAAGCTTCACTGCCAAAATTGCTAAAATAAATACTCATTCCTGGGCCATAATTATTTCTCTTTATGTTATAAACAGGTGTAGAAGTTAGCGTTATATTGCTGACAAAACTTCCCAATGGTAACTACTCTGTGCCACTGGTGATTCAGGACAAGCAGAATAGACCTTCTGAGGAGAGTTTGTTTGTCGTGGTGTGTCACTGTGTCGAACCCGGTGTGTGCGCTGAACCGAAGCCTCTGTCAACTGGCATTGGTATTGCTGCCATAGGACTAATTATTGCATCACTGCTTGTTTTTCTGTGTGAGTACAAAGAAGTCAATTATCTATATGTGTAAAGATAATGGAAAACCAGATATTTGCACACATTATGTAAAAAAAGAAAACACTTACAGATTTTAGACACATTTTTTCTTACTCTTTTACTCTCTGCTTCACATATGCTGACCAAAATGTATGTAAATGTCAGAATTCAAAGAAAGTTCCAATAAATAGAAATAACTTTTTTTTCTATTCAAGGGAGTGACATTAGCGTTTTATTCAGTGTATGTCAATGTATACTATACATGCTAAAATAAATTAGATCTGTTCTTACTCACATTTAAATCCATTGTATTAAATTTGCATTAACACACAGCTTAAAACTCATGGGATATTTATTTTAGGTTTTGCTTTAAAAGTAAATAGAATTCATAAACTTGGTGCTCAAATTATCTTAATGTGTCCACAGTGTTGCTCCTTTTGTTGAAGCCCCTACGAAAATCATTTATAATCCCTGAAGTGAATGAAGAATACAAACAGACTTTGGTGAAGTACAATGACGAAGGACTGGGCGATGACTGCAATGTAAGTTGTGGAGTGACTGTGCTGACAACAGAGAAACTGCCAACACCACATCTTTGGACTGTCCTCTTTAAACATTTGACATTTTAGCATCAAAGATTCTGAAATATATTTATATAATTAAACTGGGTTGACATAAATTGAATTTATTATACATTTTTTAATTACTGGAAATCTGTTGACCCAGTTTGACTTGGAAAATGCCTTCAGATGACATTTGTTGTAAACTGGTCCTATATAAATAATTTAAATTGAATGGAGAGTTTAACACTGTGAATATGATGCACAGCTACTGCAAACACTAACGGTATTTTCCCCTACTATTATTTATTTTTTTCCCAGGCTGGGGCCAACATTTTTGCATCAAAGACTACGCAGAGTGTGATAGACGGCATCAAGCTAGGCCACATGGAGGTACATTTCACTAATTTTAGGTGCTAATTTCTCTTCAGGCCTTAAGCTCAGTCAGTGCGTGTAATTACTCTTGACTGAATAAAGCTGTAAGTAAGTTTCATTGTTCCTATTAATGTTGTTGTGGTAATTTATATTTTTATTAGCTAAGTCTTAAAGGAATGTATTTGTCTTGAGGTCAACTTAAGTGTTGCAATATGTAATACTGTGACATTAACAACAGGTATAGCTTTTTCAATTTAAATTTAGTCCAAAATTAGCTTAGCTACTTAACTTGAAACGTCATGTAAATGTGAGCGTAGACCTTTGTAGACCATTTTCTTAGGCATTTTCAAAACGGAAGTATATTTTAGACAAAATATATCTTTTGCTATATTACCTCAACAAATCATATGGACTCTTTCTGACAAAACCATCAAAATCTATTCAAAAGATGTATATTTTGTAACTTTTTAAAATAAACATTAAAAGTATAAATAAATAATTTTGTTTACTGATAGCATTTATAAAGGAAGGATTGAAATCTACATGAAATCTCTGCTTCTAAAAGTGATTTAACTGGTGCCTGATACCTGTAGTACTTAGATTCTTCACCAGAAGGTGTGATACAAGTATATGATTTAATCTAGCAGTTTTTTTTTTAATCCTAAACTTCTTAAGCCATTGGTGCTCTCAGAAATCCAGATGTCAAATCTGATGTGTTTGTGATCATTGAGGTAACTGCAAATATCAAAAGTATGTAGCATGGCCATGTTTATTTCAAGTGGAAGGAAATGCATTTGTCGTACAAAAAAGCTGAATGCTGCTTCTCATTGTTTGGTTCTGGTTCTGGGGATGCAGAGCAGACCAGAACCACAAGACCCGAGGGGTCTGATAAGGTTGACACAACAAAAGCATATCTTTAATGTGTTCTGGTGCTAAGTCGTTCAGTGGTTTATAAACTAACAGAAGTGTTTTATAGAAGTTTGGGCAAGGCATTGGTACTGGATTAGTGTGGAGGTGCAGATTAAATCAAAGAAGTTGGCAAATTCATTGCATGCCCTGTTAGAATGTAATTTAGGAGCTACAGTCACAGTATGTGAGTCCCTGCTTTATTATTTTTTTGTTTTCAACTAGAACATTGAGGCCTTCACAAGAAATACTGACACATTCCGCACAACAACCACCAATGTAAGGAACCAGTTTAAATATTCTTTTTTGGATCAAAGCTTAAGCAAATCAAATTTACACGCAGTTCTTTATGTCGGCTCTGGAGGATTTAGCATCAGTATAATGTATGTCCACAGATGAGCTCAAACATGAACACGTGGGACTTTCAGCAGCAGAGAGGCTTCTCCAGAGGCATGAACGGGAGATCGAAAGTGAGTAATTATGGCTATGTGGTTTAGTGAAACTGTGGCCGAATGTTGAGTTACACAATGCAACCTTTTTTCCACAAGAGGGTGCTCAAAGAAATGTTTTTGAAAATTGATTGCAAGCTGAAATTTCCTCTCTTTCTTTCTTTCTTTTTCTCTCTTTCTTCCTTCCTTTCTTTTCTCTTTTTTTAATTTTTATTACTTCATTAGTTTAAAAAAACATTATATTATATTATTGTAACATTTAATAGTGTTAGGCTTAATGAGAAATTATGCTGCAAAAAATTTAAAAACAAAAAAATCCTGCATCAAAAAAATTTGTCAGTGTTGCTGTTTTCTGTGACTATGAACATGATAAGAAAAGTAAAAAAATGAAGCTAAAGATTATTACTTTTTGTTTGTTTGTATGTTTGTTTTTTCAGCGCTCAACATGGATAAGCAACAGGAGTGGCACAGTTAAGGTAAGCAGACCTCTTCATTTACGCTGACTTGCAAAACCTTGCAAAACCATTACCATCCCTTCATTTTTCACCCCGAAACACATTTTACCACATAAATACACATAAATAAAATCAACATCTTTATTATGATTATATGTAAAAAATCCAAGTGGTATATTGACGTTTAAATAAATAAAACATTAGTAACACATGATTTTCAAAATATTCATAAAATTCATAAAGTGTGACTTAAATTTGTATTAAAAAACTAAAAGCCATCTGGAAGACTGACATAAGCACTGAATAAGTAAAGGGATTGAATGTATATGAATGCAAAGAAACATGAACCAAAAGACAAAATCAAGTTGTTCACTTGAAAATAGGCATTCCCACCAACACCGGCTGAGACCTTCCTCTTTTTATAATGTTCAGTTCTTTGGGAAAAGTCTGCCTTAAACATTGATTTTTAATCATTCTTGAGACCAAACAAATTTCTCCTCCTCTGTCAGCCATTGTGGGCATAAAATAAAAACAAATTGTTTTTATTTTAGTGTTAATGTGCATTGCGCAGATTGTGCAATCTGAAGATTGTTTTTTGGTAAGCATTTTTGGTAGCCCACCTGATGTTTTTGTAGCAAAACATCAGAGAAGAAAACTTTTGATGTAATTTTGAAATTTTTTAGCCATCTTCAAGTTGTCTCCTGACGAAGTAAGCCTTTCCAAAGGAAGGGGCGGCTAAAGAGCCACAATTGATTGGACAAGCAAAAGAAATGAGGCGTTTCTAAAGAAAAGCACCTGATTGGACAAGAAAAAATCTAGCGCAACACAATTGGACGGTGTGATCACCCACACTGTGTGCCATATAATGTTGATCTAAAATCAGAATAAAATGCATTAAGGTTGATAGCTTTATTGTAAAAATAATAATAATAATTGTTCACATGAAAAAATACTTATGTAATGAGATCATAATAAATGTGTAAAATATCTCAAAAATATGTACAAATTTATGTATTAATGTGAGCTTTCTTTTGGCAGAGTAACCTCACCTTTAACCGTTCTTTAAGTACCTGGTCAGATGATCGTTTCAATAGTCTACTAGACGAGGTAAGAGTTCTTCATCTCATATGTTACACATATGACAATTTGGAATGTCCTCCAAAAACAAGGAACTTCAGTGAAGATCAAATCAAATAAAGCCAAAGACACAGTGGTGCATTTGATAAAATATTATGATAAAATTTTATTTTTGACCATAATGACATTGAAGACAGTGATTGAATCTCCTACGGTGCCACAAATACAAAACAAAACAAAAAAAGCTGAGTGTCAAGAAAGTATTGGTTAAAATTGGGTTTGAGTGTTTTAGATTTGTGTTAACATGACATTTTTTCTCTTTTAAATTCCATAGAATTCAAGTGTCACAAATAGTGACCAAAAAAATGGCTCAGATGACCAGGTCAAGACTTATCATCATGAAGGTAAAGGCGATAGCTGTGTGTCACTGGATGGGCTGTCATTGGACTGGCATGAGGATGACTTAAGCTTTTTGAATGATCTCGGACCACAGTTCAAGACCTTGGAAAAGATCATTATGCGGGATAAGTCTGAAGTTCTTAAAGCAGAGACGTCTGAAATTTGAAAGAATGCTGGAACCAAACATTCATCCCAATTAAATCTCTCATGCGCTCTAGCTTGGAGTTAAAAACTGATGCAAGTTGACTTTTTCATAGTTGCATCAACATAATAGCTGAATTTTGTACATAATGTACATATACATACACATCATGCACCTTTAAAGTGAAGTACCACACACTTGCATTTAAACACTACAAAGAGTTTGTGTGGTAAAGGATCTGCTGTTTGAAGCAGGTCATGCTCTGTCGATTATGAAAAGTTGCTTTTTGTCAGACTTTGGATGTACTTTTTTGTGTCATACTATGTTAAAGCGAGCGAAATTGGTTCAATTTTGACATCTAACATATGAATACTTGTGGATATTGGGATTTTTTAAAATTATTTTTGCTATATATAAACTTTTTGTAAAGCGTCCTTTCTGAGGATGAACAAAAAAACTGGGTAAAGTGAATCATTTTTTTGCTGTGCACTTGTTCATGTAAATGCTGAGGGCATAGTGGGGAAATAATGCTAGACATTTGGCAAAATTTTATTTACTGCTTTTTTTTGTGATATGAGCAACTTATAATTTTTGTTTTGGATTCTACATGTATTGTGTTATTAACATTGTTTAACATTACGAAGAAATATTCACAGCAATAGAATGTGAATGTGTTAAGCTTATTCTCCAGTTTCCATCTGAACAAAAAGAACATTGTAATTGGATTATTATGTGTTGTTGGCTCATTATGTTTGTTAATAATGGCAGGTTATAGATCTGGGTGTCTTTTATCTGCCGACGCTGAGTCATACGGTGCTTTCAGTTTGTACTCGAAAGTCAGGTTTTAAAAGGTCTTTCTTGGAAATGCCAAAACAATGTTTCTGAAAGTTTGACTTGAAACACCAACACCGTAAGAGGTTGTCAAGCCGCTGAGAGGTCAATATTCAATGTGGCTGTCATACAAAAGAAAAAGAAACATAGTGAGAGTTTCCAAGTTATTGGCACTTGTGACAGTACGTATTATTAACTTTTATCACACACAGCACTGTACAACTTCTATTTATGAACATCTGACTTTTAAGAAAAATAAGCACTGGGCAGAAGGAGCTTAAAAACATGCAACCTTCTTGTTGTGTGGTTGAGTAGACAAAAAATAATGATGTTGTAACCTTTTTGTCAGTTCTCAATAAACAACTTGTCAAACATCTGTACATGTCAAGTTATTAAAATGTGTGTTTCTCAGCACAGCTACAGTTCCAATTTAAAGTCAATGTTTGGTAGCACTGCTCCTGTGATGCTCTCACAGATGCAACACAGGGCAACTTGTGGAAACAAAAAAATGCATAAAAGCCTAAAATGTACTTATTAGTAGGTCATAATGTATATATATATATATATATATATATATATATATATATATATATATATATATATATATATATATATATATATATATATATATATATATAAAAAATTCCCTTCTCACCCACCGCGGGTGGTTCTTATCCTCTGAGCTCGGGTCCTCTACCAGAGGCCTGGGAGCTTGAGGGTTCTGCGCAGTATCTTGGCTGTGCCAAGGACTGCACATTTCTGGACTGAGATGTCTGATGTTGTTCCTGGGATCTGTTGTAGCCACTGCTCCAGTTTGGGGGTTACTGCCCCGAGGGCCCCGATGACCACAGGCACCACTGTGGTCTTCACCTTCAGGCCCTCTCCAGTTCCTCCCTGAGGCCCTGGTATTTCTCTAGTTTCTCGTGCTCCTTTTTCCTGATGTTGCAATCACTTGGTATTGCTACATCTACCACAACGGCTTTCCTCTGATGTTTATCCACTACGACAATGTCTGGTTGGTTCGCCATTACCATTTTGTCTGTCTGGATCTGGAAGTCCCACAGGATCTTAGCTCTGGCGTTCTCCACCACCTTTGGGGTGTTTCCCACTTTGATCTCGGGGTTTCCAGTCCATATTCTGCACAGATGTTTCTGTACACTATGCCTGCCACTTGGTTATGTCGCTCCATGTACGCTTTCCCTGCCAGTATCTTGCACCCTGCTGTGATGTGCTGGACTGTCTCAGGGGCCTCCTTGCACAACCTACACCTTGGGTCTTGTCTGGTGTGGTAGATCTGGGCCTCTATTGCTCTGGTGTTTAGGGCCTGTTCCTGGCTGCCAGGATGAGGGCCTCTGTGCTGTCCTTGAGTCCAGCTTTTTCCAGCCATTGGTAGGATTTACTGATATCAGCCACTTGGGTTATTTGCTGGTGGTACATCCCATGTAGGGGTTTGTCCTCCCATGATGGTATCTCTGGCACCTCAACCTCCGTTCCCTGTTGTCTGAGACATTCACTGAGCACATTGTCTGTTGAGGCTTTGTCCCTGATGTATTTATGGATCTTAGTTGTTTCGTCCTGGACAGTGGTTCTCACACTCACTAGTCCTCTGCCTCCTTCCTTGCGGTTCGTGTACAGTCTCAGGGTGCTGGATTTGGGATGGAACCCTCCATGCATTGTTAGTAGCTTTCTGGTCTTAATATCTGTGGCTTTTATCTCCTCCTTTGGCCAGCTAATTATTCCAGCAGGGTATCTGATTACTGGCAAGGCATAGCTGTTTATCGCACAGATTTTGTTCTTGCCATTGAGCTGGCTTCTCAGGACTTGCCTTATTCGTTGGAGGTATTTAGCTGTGGCTCCTTTCCTTGTGACCTCATCGAGGTTGCCATTTGCTTGTTGTATACCTAGGTACTTGTAACTGTCCTCTATGTCTGCTATTGTTCCTTCTGGGAGTGAGACCCCTTCTGTGTGGATGACCTTCCCCCTCTTTGTGACCAGCCGACCACATTTCTCTAGTCCGAATGACATCCCAATGTCAGTGCTGCAGATCCTGGTGGTGTGGATCAGTGAGTCGATGTCTCGCTCACACTTGGCGTACAGCTTGATGTCATCCATGTAGAGTAGGTGACTGATATTGGCCCCATTTTTGAGTCTGTATCCGTAGCCAGTCTTGTTGATAACTTGGCTGAGGGGGTTCAGGCCTATGCAGAACAGTAGCGGGGACAGAGCATCTCCTTGGTATATGCCACATTTGATGGACACTTGTGCAAGTGGTTTGCAGTTGGCTTCAAGGGTGGTTTTCCACAGCCTCATCGAGTTTGCAATGAAGGCTCTCAGAGTCCTGTTGATGTTATACATCTCTAAGCATTCAATGATCCAAGTATGCGGCATTGAGTCATAGGCTTTCTTGTAATCAATCCAAGCCATGCACAGGTTGGTGTGTCGGGTTTTGCAGTCTCGGGCAACTGTGCGGTCTACGAGGAGTTGGTGTTTGGCTCCTCTGCTATTTACACCGATACCCTTCTGTGCCGTGCTCATGTGTTTATCCATGTGTTTGCTTATCTTGGCCGCTATGATGCCTGACATGAGCTTCCAGGTTGTGGAGAGGCAGGTTATTGGTCGGTAGTTGGGTGGGACTGGACCCTTTGATGGATCCTTCTGGATTAGGATTGTCCGCCCTTCAGTTAACCATTCAGGGTGAGTCCCACTTTGTAGCAGCTGGTTCATTTGGGCTGCCATTCGCTCATGGAGAGCAGTGAGTTTCTTTAGCAGGATGGATCATGTCAGGCCCTGGTGCTGTCCAGTTTTTCATACCTGAGACTCTTTCTTGGACATCTGTCACAGTGATGGTTACCGGGGCTTGCTCAGGGAGGTTGCTGTGGTCCTCTCGTAGAGAGATCAGCCACTGTGCATTGCTGTTGTGGGACGCCTCCCTTTCCCATATGCCTTTCCAGTATTGTTCCGTCTCCAGCCTTGGTGGGTCTGCTCTGTTGTTATTGTTACCCTGCCATTGAGAGTACACCTTAGCTGGTTGAGTGGAGAAGAGCCGGTTAATCCTTCTGGATTCATTCTCCCTTGTGTATCTCTTTAGGCGGCTGGACAAGGCTTGGAGCCTCTGTTTGGCAGTCTCGAGTGCTTCAGGTATGGGCATCTGCCTGTACTTTCTGGGTACTGGTCTTTTCATTGCACCCTTGTGGAGCTCTGACAGTTGGCTCACTTCCCTCCTTGTTACCTTGATTTTAGCCTCTAACCGTCTTTTCCATGGTGGGTATTGGGTCTCATGGTTGCTCTTATAGCCAAGTATCTCGAGGATCACTGATGCTGAGTTGTAGATCAGCTCATTGGTTTCTGTTATGGTGTTGGTAGGGATCGTTCTCAATGCTGCATTCACATTCTCAATGAGACTTTCAGATGGTACTTCACTCAGCCGTTGTAATTGGCGCCGGGGAGGCCTGGTTGTCATTCGGGTCATGATTCTCTCTCTCAGGTCAGCAGCTGTCTCGTTCAGCTCTGTTTCGCTCATTGGGGCCGTGTATCCCCTCACTGGGTGGGGACTTGTAGTTAAGTCCCCACAGTCCTGACATCCGGGTTCCTCCCTTTTGCCGTAGCATTTGTGTTGTATCTCGTCAATCTCAAGTTGTGATAGCAGTTGCCGTTTGCGGATGTTGGAACACTGAGCTACTAGTTGTTTAGCGCTTAGTGTTGACTGGGGATGTCGAAGTAACCATTCCTTCCCCAGTCTTTGCATGTAACCCCTCTGACTAGGGTTACTTGAGTAGTAGCATTCCAACAGATCCACATTTTCATCTCTCGCCCATTTCCGTCTTGTTCCAGTAGCCCATTTGTCATCAAGGTGCTCTGGTTCCCCAACACCTGACGCAGACCTTGTTTGGCCGGGCGACGTCTGAGCCGGCATGTTATGCAACTTAGTATCTCTCATGGTATGAGGTAGGCAGTAGCTTGAAGGGTCTTGCCTAAGGACCCAGACTGGATTCGAACCCTGCCCTCTCGGGTGATACACTGATGCCTTATGTATTGAGCTATCCAGTCAGCTAATATATATATTGGCTCCAATATTGAGAATTGACAGTACAGTTTGTAGCTTTGAACAAATTTCTGTAAAACGTTTTTGAGATTAATTCTTATTTTTAAGGTAAAATGAAGAGTATTTTAATAGGTTGCATTTTTTTATTGAAGACAAGTTATCATGTCCTAAATAGTGCTAATTAATCAAACAAATTGCAGTTAAACAAGCAATCTAAACAAAATGCAGTTTTTTTAACAGCTCTTTTGGATTTTGTCTTTATCTTAACTAATTTTCTTCTAAAAAATGGCCTCTTCTGCTACCACCAAGATGCTGCATTGAGGAAGATACAAGAAGAAGACTGACATTAAAGTCAACAAAAGGTGACTTTTTAATACCTCCAGAAATCAGGACAGAAACATATTGCATGAAAGATAGTGGCAGCTTTATTGAAAAACTATCGTCTGGCATCAGGAGTCTGTGCTTACAGCTTTAACATGCAAAACCTGCATATGGTTGTCTCCTAAAAAAAAAAACAAAGCTTGTTGAGTTCAGACTTGTCTGCTTGGAATTTGAAAACAGCCAAGTTAATTGTTTTGTGATTCGGTTGTTTCATCTGCAACCTTCCTGTAATAGTTCAGATAGCATTTCCACAGAATTTTTCTGCACAAAATCCTTACTTCCCCTATTGGATGAGGAAGGAGATGCAAGGAAAAATGTGACTTATTCTGTTAAGTTATTTTACACTATCATGAAGAAAAATCAGTCACTGTAATAAGTTTAGAACTTAAATGTCTTCCATTTCAGAGCATATTGCTGTCTAGTTTTAGTTCCTGCTCTAGTAAATAATGGAGTCAGTGTACTCACACTTATCTCAGGTATTGACGACATCTTTTTTGTATCGCTGTCAAGAAAATATTTTTTACACCATTATGTTTACTTTACGAACAGAAAATATTCACGTTGGTCGTGGAGCTAAACGTTGCTGACAAAAATAATTACAACATGCCAAGCAAAGGTGTTAAGACCTATTCTAGCGTGTTACCAAGTGCCATTCAGTGACATTCAGAAGGTATGCTGTGGTAGAATAATATGCAAATTCAAACCCGCCACACACACAGCTAACTTAAACAACAATTCAACAATCTCCTGAATCTTCAAATGCATTTGTTGTCTTGAACTGAGGTCATTTATCTCATAGAATTTATGACACAATATGTTGGCATACTCACTTTGTCCAAATTATTTCTATTCAGTCAGACTACCGTATGGCAACAGGTGCTACAAAGTAGTAGCTCATATGTTTGAGAAACTGAGTGCAGTATGGAGTGCTGTAGGATCCTCTGGACTTGATAATTCGGTATAAAAGTACAGGCCATTTACATGCCATTATAATACAAAACATGAAGTGAAAAGATATAAACATGAGATAATAAAAAAATAAAAGATTTTCAAAAGTTATGCATAAACCATAATAAAAAAGTTTTCAAGTAATTTGAATAGGCCAGAGAAACTGTACTTGTACTTCTCTACCAATACATAATTGGCAGTTCCTGGCTGATCTCTTCTCACACTACGCTCTGTTTCCCTTCAAACCAGTTTAGTGTTTTGTAAACTTGGCAGTTTGCCTTGTTTTCTGAGTCACATTTTTTCCTATGCAGGTGTTGTCTGATTTCACACGTTATCTTTTTCTTGAGAACTGATCTCATCAAGGCTATGGATGATGCGTTTCAAAGCTGCTTTTAAAGTGAATTATTCCATGTTTTGAGAGTTTTGGCTACTTTTGAGAGGTGGTCATATAAAAAGTTAATTTATAGGTATTATTGAACTAATTATTGATTCTGATAATGTTACAGGAGCTAGTAAAACAACTGGCAAAGAAGTTTCTATATACTTGCAATATTCTCGACTGCAAAATAACTCTGATTTACCAAAACAAAATTGAGAGGAAATAACTCCCTTCAAACATCATGCAACTGGGCACATTCCTGCAAGAACCAGTACAGGCCATTTACATACCATTATAACACAACATAATTGTATGTTCACACAGTTAGGCATAGCGATGAATCGTTTTTCACAGCGCAATAAATCAAATCATTTTTTAATTGAGTGACAGTACTACTTTCAACATACAAGAAAAAGTCACACAATTCCCATGATGCAATATTGTAAAGGCAGCATATTGTAGATATATGGAGTGTTGTCACAGCTATCCATATGTGTATGAACCTAAATAAAAGGTAATTATGGAAGGATTTGTTGAAAAATGCTGGAGCTGAGGTTCCCTTGCTAACAGGACAAAAACGTAAGGGTTCTTTTGAATAAATTATGAATCTAACCACATAGCACAATTATCTGTGATTTGCAACAGCAAAAACAGTAAATATTGCAAATCAAACATGAACATATCAAAATGAACTTCAAAATAGTGCAGTTCACTGGTCATGTAATAAGATCTAACATTTAGAAACAAAGTAAAACAACTCTGCGGCGCATGATTTACTTTCTCTTTTGTTAACTTCATAAGCTCTGGTACAGAACAGACAAAACGATGGAGCTGCTGTTGGAAAGTCTGACTGTATTCTCCTCTGCAGTGACAGAGTGCTGCTCTTTAAGACAAAGTTGAACCACAAGGAGAAACTGAATGTACCGTTCATCTCTTCTCACCTACGGCCTTAAGATATGGATCATGAGCGAAAGAATAAGGTCCTGAAAACAAGTGGCTGAAAATAAAATGAGAGACTCCATGATGAACATGGGAAGGGGAGTGCTGAGCAGAGCCACTACTGTTTGACTGTCATACATTCTTATTTGAAAGGGCAGTAAAATTTCTGAGTAAAACTTACAATTTTTTTTATCGCTATTAAAACATTTGGTAACACTTTATTTGACAGGGTGTGTAAAAGACCGACATGACACTGTCAACATAACACCTGTAATGATGATGAAGGAATTTTCATGAATATATAGGACTGTTACTATGAAGTGTCATAAATTAATGACACTTAAAGTGTCATGTCAGCCTTATGCACAACCCGCCAAATAAATTGTTACCAATTTTACTTCAAACCCTTGGAATGATGGGTTACACATTACAAGTTCATGGTGAAGAAGTAACTAAAGAAATTGTGATTTAGCTGTGAAAGAATGAAATCCTGGATGTGAGGAGCTAAAATTATTCTCCACCTACCAATGGGTTGGTTTAAAACGAAGCTTCAGCCTTGAAAAACTGGTAAGTAATTTAATTAAAGTAAATACTGAATAATGGTTTACTCCAAAGGAGTAAGTTTAGGTTCTCACATCTGCTTCCTGTATTTCTCTTCCTCTGGAGGTTTCCTTGGTGCACAGAAGGAAAAGACAACTACACCTGTTCTTGCTGGAGGAAGTATAACTGTTCTGGTTTAGGAATGCTTTTGGATTCCTCTAAGCTGAAGGGTTTCGCTGTGGGTTTCCCTGCTGGAATTGCTTCAACTGCTACTGAATGTCAGATAAGTGAAAGGTAAATAATGGTTGGACAATCACAGAATGAATGAATGGAGCAGAAGTAGCACATATATTTTTTTATTTAACACTTTACTGTTTGTCCTAACTTGTGTTTGTTATATATCCAAAAAGTTAGAAAATATCATGATGTTCGAGCACTCAATAAAAAAAAGAAAAATCACAACTGCTATTCACAAAGACAAGAACATATAAAAATTATACTTCCAAATATACAATATTTGTGTTTTATGTTTGTTGGCACCTAAGTCGCTTCTTTTAGACAAAACAAAGCCATGTGCAGTTAATGTTTTAGAGGCTGATGAATGGACACCTCCCACAGTCCCTCCTACTCACCATGTCCTGCTACTAAAGCCCACATTTGTACTTGGGTAAACTTTCACTTTAGCTTCTGGTATGAAGGACACCATTGAGTTGTAATATCTTTCACTAGATCAAATATGGAGATAAAAGTCGTGTGTCTTCTCGTGATACTGGTAAGAACTAATCTTAAAAAATCATCTTTCTGCATTGATGGTTGTATTTTAGAACGTTGCAAGGAGGTTGCATATTTCTTTTGTATCACTTCCTGATAGCTTCCATCACTTTCACTCTGAATAAAAGAGAATGCAAGAAAAAAAAAATTATTAGTGGAATCAACATAGCACATTTAATAATTAGCATGTTACCGTAATAGATCCTGTTACATTTTAAGTAATATAGGATGATTTTATAATTTGCAGAGTCTGAGAATCCATTTGACCCCGGCAGAATTTTTGTTGCGGCAAAAAAGGAACTGGATCATACAAACCTTCACGATCGATGAAAGTTACAGTGGAACCTTTCCATATTATTTGGGTAAAGTAAGTATTAAAGTATAAAGTTATAACTGAATAAGATATAGATATATTAATACATAAGAAAAAAAAACGTTATTCTTTGTAATTCAGGTTGAAATAGATTCCAGTTTAAATATTGTGGAAGTCACTGGTCAAGGTGTAAATGAAGAACCTCGAGATTTAATTAGCCTAAATGAAAAAGAAGGACATGTAATAATCAAGGGCCCCGTGGACTATGAAAAATATACAATTCTGAAGGTAAGAGGAAGAATAATGCTCATCTAAGTCAGGCAGTTTTTTGTGCTTATATGATTCATTGTTGTTTCTTTAATTATATTGCTCTTGTATTTTCCCTTAGCTGATAATTAGGGCACAAAGTGAAAGAAATCAGACATTGACAAAAGTGGGCATTAATTTTGAAATCATTGATGCAAATGACAACCCCCCAATATTTAACAAAACAGAGTATGAGATCACCATAAATGAGTCAACAATACAAGGTAAGAATTTCAATCATTTTTATGAAGTTTTGGCATGACTAAATATAACACATCTTTTATTATCTGGCAGGCACTGAATTGATCAATGTTACAGCGACAGACAATGACAGCAAAGAGGAGTATAAGACTTTTTTTTTTAGTATAGACTCAGTTATTCCTGAAACAGAGGACTTGGAATTCACCATAAACAAGGTGCCTTATTTTGGTAATGGGACCATTTCTTTTAAAGGATGCCTGGACTACAAGGTGAGGATGCCCATAAATTGATGAAGTCAAAGCAAAATAGACAATTGTATCCTTTATTATTGTTACATGTTTCAAATACATTTGCTGTTTTTATTCAGATATATTTTAAAAAGGAGTAATTTATTTACCCTACAGAAAGCAGACAAATACACCATTATTGTGAAGGCAACAGACCTTGGAAAACCAAAGCCACTCTTCAGCTTCACCAACGTAACAGTCAACATAAACCACGGAAATAGATATCGTCCAATATTCACAAACCAAACTGTGAGGAATTCTGAATTTCAGTTCCTGATGTAAGCATTGTATTTAAACTAATTGAATGTCTTTTATATTTTTGAACTTCAGGGTCCAGTACGTGTGAAAGAAGGTGAGGAAAATGTTACTTTTTCACGTCTACAAGTTAAGGATGAAGACACCAAAGGTACAAAAGGTTGGAATGCAATATATGAAATCCATGGAGACAAAAACAACAACTTCAAAATAAGGACTGATCCTCAAACAAACGAAGGACTACTCTATGTGAATAAGGTACTTTTCAACTTATTTCACATACAGCTGCTCTTTTGCAATAGTTCACCCCATATATTAAAAAATAAAAATTGTACTGTCTTAACAAAAATTCATTAGTATGTTTTTGTAATCTGATTTGTGCACCTTTAAAATTTAGCAGGAGCATGTTTTCCATTTATTAAATATTAAATAATGTACACATACCATATTTCACCAAAACATATTTCCAAAAACTTTAAGCCTGTAAGTATTTTTGAGAAAGTAAAAGTGGAAAAAGCACAGAACAGACATAAAAGATTAAATGACTCACTACTCAAATCATATCAATTGATACATTATAAAATGATTCAAGAGAATTTCAATCATAATACTGTAAGATTGTGAAAATTGAAAACCTCCAGCAACTGCAAGAAAACCAAAAGATGCAATCAAAATGTAAAAAAAATGTAAAATCCTGGAAAAGCTATTTCATATGACATAGAAATTATTTTGTTAAGTTGAAAAAAATCTTTGCATTGCTACTGTTTTAACAGCCACTGGACTATGAGGATGAATCCTTGAAGAACATCACAGTCACAGTGGAGAATGAAATTCCTTATTTCACATGCAAAGTAATGGATCGAAACACCGCAGGCCTTTGGAAAATTAAAACAGATCCCAGCCTTGCCAGCGGAGCGTCTATGAGTAGGAATGATGGAGGAGGGACTCACCAAATGACAGTAGTCGTAGAAGATGTCAATGAGCCTCCAGTCATTGATGAACTAAAACCAATTTCTCTGTCTAAAAATGTGGAAGTGGGCCATTATTTGGGAACAATTGTTTCTAGAGACCCAGATGTCCAAGGTACACAAATAATTAGGTAAGTAGTAATATTCTCAACCATATACACAATCCACATAAAAAATAAATAAATAAAAAATCCTTAATGTGACAAATATACTGTACAATTCTGATGGAAAAACAAACCAATTAGTGGTGATGGGGGTGTCAGGGAATCCAGAAGTTAAAAAAGTGCACAAACTTTTAATTCTGTTTCAGTATCCTGACTTCTTTTTCATCCTCTGGGAGTTTTTTTTGATAAATAATTATCTTTTTTTTTTTTCTTTTTACTTTGTCATTTTAAATTTTCAGTTTATTACTCTTGTGAAATGATACACCTACTTTATGTAGCCAGTTTTATAAACTTTGTCTAACAAAGAACTGACTGTTTCACCGTTGTAACCAGCATCTGCAGGCCAGTATAAACCTCATTTAGTTCATCACAACTTCTAAAGTTTACCTTTGTAAAGTTGTTGTTACAATTAGCAGCAGTAGTTGAAGCTGCTTTTGTTCTCCAGATTTTGAGTAGTCGCAGGTGGCAACAGAACCAAGGTAATTTTACCAAATCCGTTTTTTTTTTTTTTTTTTTGGAAGATTGCTTTTTAGTTAACATATTGAAGAAGTGCTGCTCTTACTTCAGCACAATGTTCAGGTAAGAGCATGTTTGATCACAGGTCATTGCTATCTCTGACCTAAATAAGGAATGTATGATTACACTTAAGAGTATATCATTAGAATTAAATGACCAAGCATAAATTCTTTTAGAAATTAGTTAGAAATTCAGGAAGTACTTTTTAAGGGGGATTAAACTTTAAAAGTCTGGGTTTTTCAAAGGCACTATTTACACTTAATTTCATACGCAATTTATTTCATTATACAGCTGTCAAGTACAAAACACTGTTCCTACTCTTATGGTTTCCAAATCTGTGAAGGAAAAAAAAAAGTAAAACATCCTCAATTGAGAAGTGTGACTTACAAGTGAAAAACATTTTATAAAATACTCTGGGACCATGTTTGAGAATATTTCTAAAGTAAGCAGTATCTTATGTTTGATAGAGTGTATTTTTCTCTATCAGTAAGGAATGAAATTAATTTATCAGAATCAAGATGTTAATGAGGTTTACTTTGAGTTATTTGTAGTTGATTTTCTTAAACCCTTTGAAGTATGGAATACCAGGAGATGGCAGCAAAGTCATAAGTGCTCCACTAAAGAGGTGAAGTATCAGAAATCTGTTTTTCTTATTTCAGTTTAACTTCATCAGAGTAATGTCACACTATAGGCTGAATGTGTCTGAATAATTGTTCATGGTCCCATTTTCCATATTACAAATATCAAACCTTTAAACATGGCTATGAATACTTTTGAGATATTGCAATGAAGTGCAAGTCCCTCATTGATGTGTTTCAGATACTCAAAAGGTGAAGATCCAGCCAATTTGATTTCAGTGGACCCGGAGACAGGAAAAATAACCACAGCACGCACCTTTGACAGAGACTCACCCTACGCTAAAGATGGAATTTATGTCATCATAGTGAATGCTGTTGATGGTGGTATGTTCTATGAGATTTTAAAAATATCTTTTCAGAAAAAGTATATTTTCTCATCAGTACAATTGTACAATGTGTCTGCACAAGGAAGCCCTCCTCAGACTGGCACAGCGAGTCTCAGCATCTACATCGCTCGTGAGAATGACAATGCTCCATCTCTAATAGTAAACACTTTTGACATGTGCCAAAGTGACAAATCATCATGGGTCAATGTCACAGCTGTGGATCCAGATGAGGACCCATACAGTGGGCCTTTTTCATTCAAACTTCTTGGAGATGTTAAGAAAAAGTGGAGGATTGATCCTGAGCAAGGTGAGGTGTCCCTCAGGCACTCCTGGAACTGTGATCATTTGCATTTATATTCATCCCTATTTGCTCTGATACTTCTAAAAGTCAAATACAGCCCACTGCTTTTAAAAGTTAATTAGTTTTAAAATAAATTCCACTTTTGTATCATTGCATCTCGCTGTAAATATGTTTCTATAAAACCACAGAGGTTAGGGGTAAAGTTGAAGAGAAATTTGAAGCAGACTCCACTTACAAAACAAAATGTTAAATCTTGAGGATCTAACAGAGAATGGCTTAATGCATTGTTGAAAAATGGGAAAATTGGGGAATAATAAAACACGTCTATATGAACTGAAAGCCTGGAAAAAAGATAATCTTAATCAAACAAGCGGCCAAGAAGTAAATTTGGAGGAGCTGATGAGATCCATAAGACAGGAGGGAGACTTATTGACAAAACAAATATTAGCTGTGCACTCCACAAATCTGGAGGAAAACCTTTGTACCTTTGCAAAACAAGAACATAAGAAGCTCTAATTGCAGTTTGCCACAAATAAGGGATACAACTAATGTGAAAAAAACAGTGGTAAAAGATCTTTATACATTAGCTGTGTAACAGTCTAGTAATCAATCTCCCCTGCATATATAGTTCATTTTTATCAATTTCTGATCTTCTAGATGCTGTGACTCTATTGCCCTTTTACTTCTGAAAGCCTCACTTGCCTGGATTTTGTTTCATTATGATCTTTCTTAATCTTGCTCCTCTTATCTGTGCAATATAGTCCACACCAAACACAATTCATAACAAATTGAGCTGCTTTACAAAAATAATATACGTGGCTAAAATTTCACAGGCTCCATTGCATAAATCCAAATAAAACAAATTGAAGTTTGTGGTAAAACATAAAAAAATAGCTGGGGTTATTAATATTTTAGTAGCCACTCTAAAAGACCCTTGATATAATAAGATACATATTTGTTTTGGATTTGCAGGGTATTCAGTCAACCTTGTTAAAGGACTAAATGTTTATTCTGGACATCACAAGTTGAAGCTAGAAGTGTCAGATTTTCAAGGAAAGAAAGTTCTTCATGACTTGTCAGTTATTGTGTGCAAGTGCTCTGATGAGACCAAGCCAGACTGCAGCGTGAGAAAAGCTGCTGTATTCACAGTAGGAACAGGAGCCCTGGGAATATTATTCTTCTGCATTATATTAATGATAGGTAAGACAAACTGAATTTTTCTTGCTACTATTGTTATCATCATTAAAAAATGACAAACAAAAACAGTAGCAATGTAACACGTATATGTCATATTTCTTAACGTTCCAGGTTTGTTATTTTTAACATTTTTGGTGTCATGTAAACCTGAGAAGATAACAATGGATGATGGTGAGCCTGTGCAACACTTAATGAAAAACAACACAGAAGAACCAGGAACTGATTGTTTTGTATGTTCTTTAAATTTATCTTGGTTTTGTTGTTGTTACTTGTGTGTCTTGCAATTCAAAAACATATTAAAATATTTTGAGAAAACCTATTAATTTAGAATACAGAGATAATTTTAATTACATATATTTGAAAATCTGAAATCAAATTAATCAAAAAGTCAGTAAAAAACTTGGCAATTTTATTGTAAAACTTAAAAAGTATAAATGTTTTTAGGTGCCCTTCAACTTACAAAACAGCAGAAATTATGGACAACAAATTCAAGTATCTGAAGATGTAAATTTGTCAATGACATCGGTAAGTGCTGTTAGTTACTCATTAATGTACTGCAATAATTAAAAATTATTTCCTAAAAACAATTTTCAATATGGTTCCTCAATGAAAAAAACTCTTCCAGTTAATTTTGCACTTGTTTTATTACAAGAACCCCTCATTCTGCAGCTCAGTTTGACTATATTTCCTGTTACTGAAAAATCAATGCACGTTAAAACACAATTTAAACCTTAGGCCGCTTAATGAATTTACAAAATGGATTGCATTTTTTTGTTGACTCTTGACACACTCTTACTATAGTTGTGTTCAGAACTTTATATAACGCTACGATTAATTTGGGATTTTTAATGAGTTATAAAATTATACAAGCTAAAACTTCAATAATTTGAACAATTCTGCAATTTTCTCTAATCCAAAAACTGTCAGAATTAAACACAGTGCAAAAATATTCACATACTCACTACTACATTATTTGAATAAACTTCCTTGAGATTTTATACATTTTTTGAAGCAAAAGGCAAGGTCCTGGCAAAATTCAGTTCATTTCCTATTATATTTCTTATCATAAAATAACATCGCTCATTTAAGCCATATTTACATTTTATTTGTTGCTCATTCACATGTGAAATGTTTTAAAAATGTTAAAGTCCTTCCCCTCTTAATCAGGTATCACTGGATCCTGTCGTTAAAGTCCAAGCCTGCCCAAATGTGATCAAGTTCAATCAAGACAGAGGCAGTTGGGCAAAATCTTCTGTGGTGGTAAACCTATTATTTTTATTGCTATTTCTTGTCAAATATTCTTCTTTTAATTTTTTTAGCTATATATATGTCTTGAGAATTGATTAACTGTTTGAGCATTTTATTTTCAAGTCTTTCCGTGAGCACTGGAATGGGTCTGCTGAGGGTCCGTTTTCAGGCATGGGGATCAGACGTCAGCTGGGAACACTAAAGGAAGGGGTACTGTATCATATTTCTATGCACTTACATTTTTAAAACATTTTTATATTTTACATAATTGTATACAAAATATATTTTTATCAATTATTTACTGTATTTTGTACTTAAAATGATAAAATTCCTTTTACAGGCCTGTATGCAAAAGACTCATGAAACTCTACTATTCATAGCTCTCACAAATATGCTGAAAAAACTTGAGCTACCAGGTGAGGAACTTGGTGATTATGAACCCACTGTCTATGATGATGAGGGAGACTTGGTAAAAAACTTTGAACTTGATGCTATCTCCAACCCTGAAGAACCCTTTGACTCAGAAATAGAACTGGATTCCATTTTTCTACCCCTTGCATCAGTCTGTTCACCTGACTTGTTTGCCCAAAGCACAAAAATGTAAGACAGATACACTGACCACAATGGTTGAGCATAGAAGGGCTACTCTTGTGTTGTGTTTATTATTTAGCTATAGCATAGAACAAGGGGCTGGTTTTTACCAGGCTGCTATTTTAATTTTCATCTTGAATTCAGAAAACAAAATAATAAATTGAAGCCAACTTAATGATTTTTTTCCAAAACTCCATAATGCTTTAATTACAGTGTACTGTAAATATGTCTGATTACTGTCTGAATTAAAAAATGATCTGTTTCTTTGTATGAATCTTGAGAGAGTTATCTTAATAATCTCAAGATTATTACAAATAAATGACAAACAGATTTTAAAGGCACAAATCAAGGGGCATTTTACTTCAAACTAAGTCACTAGCAGTATATATGAATAGTAAATGTAAGACTTCATTCATGACAATGTTGGTATCTTGCTTCTAGTTGTCTACAGGAAAAGAAATGCTGATTTATTAAAGGCAAGCACATGATCAAGTTAACTTTTGTAATTGTACCACACTTTTTGCTTTTAAGAATTTTAACTTCCTACATGAATTGATTGTTTATTTCAAAATACTCAGCATGCCCATGCTCAGCAATGATGCAAACATCTCTGATTCTATTAGAAGTCTTTGTTTCATAATTAGGAAGTAGTTGACTGATGTTTTTGATTACTGTTCTGAAGTTATTGAATGCTTTTGCTTATATCAAGTATGCTCATGTCTATTTTGATTTAAGGCCAAATGTCAGCTATAACTATTTTTCCTCACTATTATAACGATTTATTTTCAGTTTTTAAACTATTTTATCCATGTTTTTAATTCATATTCATTTCACTCCTCTGTGTGACTTTCTTTCACTTAAGCTTCTGTTGTACATTTGTTTTTTGTTTTTTATTCTCTGTGTTTACAACTGCAGTAGGAAGTTGCTTGTAAATATAAAAGTAATAATGAGAAACTGTGTATTTGTTGAATTAAAAACAAATTATTTGGGCTAAAACAAAAATTTAGTTTATGGATTTTTTTAAAAAAAAGCATGACTAATCTAAATAGCAAAATTTCAAGTGAATTGAAAATTGCAACAAAAAAACAAAAAAAAATATGTGAATTCAAAGTGACCTACTCTTTTTTGAAAAACCAATTTTCTCTTTGTTAAACTGGGGGCTTGGCTTGTTTTATATTTCCCTGTGTCGTCTTTCCTGAGAAAGTCAACACCCAGGCAAGACAAAATTACTAAAGAGATAATGTTCTTCAGAAATTATTTAATCATCGATACCAGCAACAGGTTACTAAAGTCACTGTCATACTGAGGGTAGCCTTTTATGACACTCTGTTTAGACTTTCTGGGCAGGTACAGTCATGTGAAATAAGTGATTAAACTGGCTTGCCTTTGATAGAACGTTAAAGGCAAGATAATCAGTAGAAGTGAAGCTTTTTATATAAGAATCTAATGACGGGTCAACAATGCAATAACTTACATGAAGTTATGGTTCTTTAAGATTTATAGAAAGTAAATGATTGCAGAAGATGAACGCTCATTCTGACAAGGTAGGTGATGATGGGCAGCTGCGCCTGCTTTCCAATAGCTTGCCACCATCAAATGCAAATTGCTTTTTGGGCCCTCAGGACTTCAAAAAGTGCTACACAAGAACAGGACATTTACCATTTCTTCCATTTTTACTATTAAAATAAGAGTTGTGCCTTTACACTGTAACCACAACCTTAGTGAGCATAAAAGGTAGCTGCAAAGTCAGTAACTGAATATTGAGTTTCATTAAACAATCAGGTGCCAAAGTAAGGTAATCTACATTTCTCAAAAGATATGGTGCTGCTTGCTGCATTGAATGTTGGTAGTGCTGAAGTTCTTAACAGGAAGAGGGACCCATAAATCAAATTCTGCTTATAGCCCTATGCAACATTGAGCCATCCCTCGTGATAATCTTTCAACTACCTTTTAACAGTTCAATGCTAAGAAAACAAGAAATGTTCAAACACTTTAATAATAAAGGAACATTTGTCTCTCCAGTCAAAATTAATATTGAACATGTAGAGCAAAAAAAAAACACCTCCAGATCAACAGGAATAAAATGGGTCACATAACCAGCTATGTTTTTTTATTATTATTTTTAGGCTATTCCTTCAAGCTTGTAAAGGAACACAATGCCTCCCAAGCAATTATGAGTTTTGGACATTATGAATTGAAGCTAGAAGTGTCAGATCTTCAAGGAAAAACAGCTGTCCATAGCTTGTCAGTTAGTGTGTGCAAATGCTCCAAAACAACAAAGCCAGACTGCAGACTCCAGAAACATACCGGATCCAGACTCGGACCAGGAGCTTTGGGAATTTTATTTTTAAGCATCATTCTGTTCATGGGTACGACTAAATCTAAGTCATTAATGTCAACAGAATCCTAATAAACTGAAAACAATATACGTGTTTATACTTACGTTGCGTCTGATCTTCACACTAGGCTTTCTGCTTTTAACTTTTGTGATGTCGTGTAAGCCTGAGAGGATACCATTCCCAGATGACTTTCCAGGGCAATATTTAATCATGAGCAACACAGAGGGACCAGGCTCTGATTGCAAAGTAAACTTTATAGCTTGAAGTTATCCTTACTTGTTTGTTGAAATATAATTCACCTAAGAATGAACATTTTACATTTGGAAAACATTGTATGTGCTTAAGTTGCCTTTAGGAAAATTGGACCACATTGGTCATGGACAATGGATGCCGATATCTCAAGGCAAGCCATTGATAATGAGGCCGGTAAGTAAGTGAGTAAGTAAGTGAGAGAGAGAGACAGATAGATATACAGTTAGGGCCAGAAATATTTGGACAGTAACACAATATTTGTGAGTTGGGCTCTGCATGCCACCGCATTGGATTTGAAATGAAACCTCTACAACAGAATTCAAGTTCAGATTGTAACGTTTAATTTAAAGGGTTGAACAAAAATATGTGATAGAAAATGTAGGAATTGTACACATTTGTTTACAAACACTCCACATTTTAGGAGCTCAAAAGTAATTGGACATATAAACATAACCCAAACAAAAAAGTTTTTTTCAATATTTTTTGTTTAAGAATCCTTGGAGGCAATCAGTGCCTTAAGTCTGGAACCCATGGACATCACCAAACGCTGGGTTTCCTCCTTCTTAATGCTTTGCCAGGCCTTTACAGCCGCAGCCTTCAGGTCTTGCTTGTTAGTGGGTCTTTCCGTCTGAAGTCTGGATTTGAGCAAGTGAAATGCATGCTCAATTGGGTTAAGATCTGGTGATTGACTTGGCCATTGCAGAATATTCCACCGTTTTGCTCTCATGAACTCCTGGGTAGCTTTGGCTGTATGCTTGGGGTCATTATCCATCTGTACTGTGAAGCGCCGTCCGATCAACTTTGCAGCATTTGGCTGAATCTGGGCTGACAGTATATCCCGGTACACTTCAGAATTCATCCGGCTACTCTTGTCTGCTGTTATGTCATCAATAAACATAAGTGACCCAGTGCCATTGAAAGCCATGCATGCCCATGCCATCACGTTGCCTCCACCATGTTTTACAGAGGATGTGGTGTGCCTTGGATCATGTGCCGTTCCCTTTCTTCTCCAAACTTTTTTCTTCCCATCATTCTAGTACAGGTTGATCTTTGTCTCATCTGTCCATAGAATACTTTTCCAGAACTGGGCTGGCTTCTTGAGGTGATTTTGGGCAAATTTAACTCTGGCCTGTCTATTTTTGGAATTGATGAATGGTTTGCATCTACATGTGAACCCTTTGTATTTGCTTTCATGGAGTCTTCTCTTTACTGTTGACTTAGAGACAGATACACCTACTTTCCTGAGAGTGTTCTGGACCTCAGTTGATGTTGTGAACGGGTTCTTCTTCACCAAAGAAAGTATGCGGCGATCATCCACCACCGTTGTCTTCCGTGGACGCCCAGGCCTTTTTGAGTTCCCAAGCTCACCAGTCAATTCCTTTTTCCTCAGAATGTACCCGACTGTTGATTTTGCTACTCCAAGCATGTCTGCTATCTCTCTGATGGATTTTTTCCTTTTTTTCAGCCTCAGGATGTTCTGCTTCACCTCAATTGAGAGCTCCTTTGACCGCATGTTGTCTGGTCACAGCAACAGCTTCCAAATGCAAAACCACACACCTGGAAACAACCCCAGACCTTTTAACTACTTACTTGATTACAGGTTAACGAGGGAAAGGCCTTTTGAGTTACTTGCAGCCTTTAGAGTCCATTGTCCAATTACTTTTGGTCCCTTGAAAAAGAGGAGGCTCTGCATTACAGAGCTATGATTCCTAAACCCTTTCTCCGATTTGGATGTGGAAACTCTCATATTGCAGCTGGGAGTGTGCACTTTCAGCCCATATTATATATAAATTGTATTTCTGAACATATTTTTGTCAACAGCTAAAATAACAAAACCTGTGTCACTGTCCAAATATTTCTGGCCCTAACTGTATAGATCTTCCTTTCTGTTTTGCAATGGCACATTCTTGAAAGCTTTATGATCAAATATCTTTTATGCTTTACTTGAGAAAATACATTTCAGTAAAATGCCATAAATCATTGGCCCCACAATTTTTTCAGGTATTCGTTGATGTCAACTCACAAACGAGTCAGAACAGGGACAGCTGCCAGCAAGGAGCAATCCTTGAGATAAATTCTTCTCTGATGGTGAATATATTATTATTATTATTATTATTATTATTATTATTATTATTATTATTATTACTGATATGTGTTTTTCTTTGAGTAATTCAAGCAAACATAATTTTGCTCACAATAGTTTGCATGATTTTCCTGTTTTTCTGTCATATTGTCAAGACTATGAATGAGCAACAGATGATTTCCCATGGATGTTCAACTTCAGTCATGAAGAAGAGATATCAGCAACAAGAAATAAAGACAGCAAACCAAAAGGTACACTTATGTGTATTTACACTGTAATACTTTACATAGTTAGCTTACTGTGGAAATAAAAAGTGCTGAAGATATATTTTTTTTACATTCTCCACGTGTTAATATGAACAGAAATATATTTCATGAGTCATTTATTGTGTTCTTTTAAATAAACAAAAAAACAAAAGAACATACGCAAATCTTCTTCTTATAATTTGTAGGTTAGGATACTACAAAGCCAACATGTTTTGGAAGAGCAACTGCATGATCTAATAAAAGCAAAAGTACTCACTTTGGAGGAATTGGACAAGGAGTTGGGTGATTATGAACCTGTCATGTACGCTGATGAGGGAGAGGCTGAGCACATGTTTGAACTTGATACTCTCTTTGACCTTGGAGTTTCCTTTGACCAAGACATGGAACTGGATTACAAGTTTTTACCTCTGGCCTCAATCTGTACACCTGACATTGCTGCCCAAAGCACAGACACTTACTTCTGCAAAGAGCAGAGTTTGGTATAGCAGGACATATTTATTTCATGAATCTAATGTTTAATCTCTTGATTTTTGTAATGCAAGCAATCTTGAAATCAGCCACACTGTTAAGTTATTTGAAAAGTCTAAAACGGTCTTTGTACAAAACTAAATATGTAGAAGTGGACTTTTTGATGCAATCATGCCCTAAACATAGAGACGGAAGCTAAAGATTAACAGCATTGTTTACAATACCTACCTCAAAAGAAACTATTTGAAGGTGGCATTAAAAGATTGTCAGCATTTGTAAAGAAAGAGCAATAAAAACTTCATTGATTGAGTCGTGTCATTGGTCTAGTTAAAAAACTGTACGTATGATTCCAATACTGTTTGATGGATGTGCTTGTGATCCTTGTAGTTCATATTTAAACAGAAAATAAACCTTCTCAGTGCTGTATTGTGTATAATTTACTATAAAACAGGGAATTGTGTAAATTTAAGAAAATAAGTACATTTTCTGCTAATTCATTTGGAGGTAGTTTATTGTTTTGGGCTACTTTACAGTTTGCTGCTGCACATATACGTGTTTTACATCTATGTTCATAACTCATAATAATCAAAAGCAAAAAAACAAAGATTTAAAAAACAACTTCACAGTGTTACTGTAAGTGACAGTATTAAGTGTGCAGTGCCATGCGAACATATTTATGGCATATTTATATTTATGGCATACAAAAAAAATACATAAATATATATTTATGTATTTATAAAGACATAAATATGTCTTTGTATGACAAAGACATACAAACAGACAGTTTGGGAATACAATTAAAAGTTATAAGCAGACCTAAGTTATCAAAACCCTTCCTACACTCAGTACAATCTCATGACAGTGATGTTCATTCTGTTATCCAAATGTGTGTGTTAGTTGGCCAGTGTTAGCCGATGGTTTTGTGTGTTCCACTCAGTGGTGGTGGCTGGGAGACCCTAGATGTTGCTGCAATTTATCCTGGAGAAATCATAGCTCTCACAAGGCAATCTCAAATTATTATTTTCTTTTTTTTATCTAAGTTAATATTCTTTGATATTTACTTTGATATCACAGTTATTGCTGTGATATTTTCAAGTTGTTATCCACCAATTAATTGTACAATATTTTTAGTGTGGTCATCTTTACCATATAAAAGTATAATCAACAGCTTTAAACATTACTAAATTGAACAATGCATGTAAAAGTTTTCTTTAACAATGCATCCGACCTACACTGAGAAATCTCTCATCGATGCCAGACCTTCGTCAAGCAGCATTCACATGTTGGTACCGGTATCTAGGAGTTGGTTTATTTAGTTTTGCTGCCCTCTACTGGCAGAATTAGATAAAACAATGTTTATTTAGCATATTCCTGCACGAGCTCTAATTTTAATCACTGCACATAAGTTTAATTTAGAATATAGGTTTAATGTAACAGCTACTACAGTTTAATGTATTAACTTTGCTTTAAGGGCAAAGCTCATTGCTATGTGCTTTGAGGACATGACAGTGTAGTTGGTGATAATGTGGCCTAGAAAATATTGCCATCCGTTTTGTTTTGTTAAGAGTCTAGACAAGGCAAGATTATAAATATTGCACCATTTATCAACAAGATGATTTAAGAAATATATTTATAATAACTGTAAAACATAAAATAGACATTTTAAATAAATAAATTGAAACAAATCATGAAAGACTGACTGATAAAGAGATAGTTGCACATCTCATGTTTTTATGGAATTGGTTCCAGAACTGAGCTGTATATAGGTCAATGTGAAATAACAGTATGGCACCAACATTCATGAATTAGTAATGCTTTGGATTATCTAAAAATCTTTTCAGGTTTAAAACAATTCAAGTAGCAGTGGATTTATCATAGTTCACAGAGATGGCAAATCTTTTTCAACGAATAATGTCAGTTAAAAAACTGACATTCTCAAAAAATTTTGACATTTTCAGGGTCACTTGACTCTGTATCACTATTGCAATGATGCATAAATCTCAAGGGTAGTCTGAAACAATTATACTTTTTCTGAGATTGGTAAAATTTTTAACCAACAAGAGATACGTTTCCACCATTTATTTTTTATACAACTCACATTCCCAAAATATTACAATATTACAAACAACCAATATCAGCAATTATGTGATTTTCTAAATACGTTTGTACTCTTCTGATTCACAATTTTCCACCCCTCATTTTAATCCCTCAATTTTACTACTAAGCCTCAAATTTTCACGACCAAATAAGGAAAAAGGCACTGAAAAACGCTAGCGTGGGACTTTCTAACCTCTGGCTAATCATAAATCATACGATGCCACGTAGTAGTTTTGCACCCTGTACAGTACCTCATGTTGAGCAATACTTTGAGCAGTGTGTTCACTGCTTGAAGCAAAAGTTTCTGAAGTTATGATTCCTTTTATTTTCTTACTTGGTGATTGTTTTCACCAAGATATGCCAACACAAAATTAAACATTTACTCAGTGTTGACAGAATTTCTGTGAAAGTGTTATCTAAGCATTGTCTAAAGTAGCCAAATTACTCTCAATCTAAAACAGTTGATATTTGGATTCATGCATAGTATGGGATTACAGCAATTTAACAACAGGGAAAATATAAACAACATTTTTAACGAGAAAAGTTGTTTTTATTGAGGGAAAGATTTGGATTTTGCTTGGTTTATATGGCGTACCAACCAGCAAACATTTCAAACTTAAAATATTTTAAAAGATTTCCGTGTAATAGATAACATAAATTACTCACAAAAAGGCAGAAAAAGGAGAGAGGTATTTTAAACTGAAAACTGTCTGAGGGCAAAGCGAATGTAACATAGACCAGCAAGAAAAACGCACCAGCAAAAGCAAAAGAGTTTTTGGAGAAATTGCAATGATTTAGAGAAAGTTTAATTATCACCAAACAATGTTTTTGGATTTGTGGATCTCAAGAAATACGATCATCATTGTTACAACGAAATAAATAAAATCTAACACAGAACCACAAACAACATTTCATAATTAAAAACTTCACAAAGTCTGGGACTAATGACAACTTACTTTTTTCATTGGCTGAACCGTTGCCAAAATGTATAGACCTTAATTTGCATTCCCTAGCTGAGAACAATGTGGCAGCGTGAGAAAGCCATGAGAATAAAAACTGTAAATGTCCCTGGGCTAAACTGAGAGGTAGGTGTATTCTAGCTCATGTATTTTTATGTGCAGTTGTTTACGACAACTCCCAGGTTAAAGTAAAAATGAATGACAATCTAACATGACCAACATGCAAACAAACCTGTTTTTGTACCTGTCTTAACTTCCATAATGTGATATGTTTGTGATTAAAAGTTCAGGACATCATAAGTAGCATAAATTCTCCACATTGGTACAGAATCTGAGAAGCATTGTTTCAAAATACAGACAATCAATATAGGAGTACATGACCTTTACAGATTTTTGAAAGAAAAAAAAAGCAAAAATATAAAGATATTTCATCAAAAAAACATTAGATATTCAAATGGCATAGTCTAACAGGAAGAAACCCATTACAACTATGCCAACTGGAAATGTTTCATACCAAACCTTTTTTGTGGTTTCTTACTGAGTCACTGCACAGATGCAAACTTTGGGGGTTGGCCTCCCCAGCACTACATACAAGTAGCCTATGCCACAGACATTCCTATCAGAGAGGAAAAGAATTAGCAAGAAGCATGATGAGGAGCCTTTCCCTGCTTCTGTTGGTAAGCATTATATTTTTAAATATACATTCTTATGTACTAATTAAAGAATAATATAAATAACATATCAAGTTTTCTTGTCAGATCTTGGTGTGTTTAAATTTTACACATTTAGTACCTTAGTTTTCCACACCTTCTCTGTGTTGTAGGGTAATTTTAAGTGACAATTGATAATTGAGTGAGTTAAAATAATGTAAACATATTTCTGTCACCACATTAGTTGAACTTTTAAATCTCAAATTTTGGTAATAGATCAAAGTATCATCCTTCAGTTTCAGTTCATTCGTATATTCCAGGGAAACTTTGTTTGCTGATGTCACTTTACTATGAAAGGAAACTGGTTTTTGTTCCGCAGAGAAAACCTTAATTATAAAGGCATTTCAGAATGCACAACCACGTAATAGGTCCTCAGATTGTCGTCAACCAGAGAAGGAAACATACATATATGTTTGATGAGTTTGATTTAATGCTTTGAATGTATTTTTTATTTTAATTTTTTGTAAGTCTGGCCTGTCTCATACAGAAATCTAAAGTGACAAAGACTCTGCCTTTAGGTTCACTTTAATGCTTTATTGTAGGTGTCAGTATTGTGAGAAGACAGATAAGTACAGCTGGCAAGGCATTTTTGGCAACTGCTACTTTTCTTCCTCTGTGCTTCTCTGAAGTTTTTGGGTGAATATTTGGGTTTATGGAACCAGAAAAAAATGCAATTCATGTTAAGACAACTAAAACAATTCAAAAAATGCTTTGAAAACAAATTTTCTTGGAGAAAGTGTAGACCAGGACAGTGAGCAGAGTTTGTGGTATAGAGAGTGTCCGCAGAGCGATAGTCCACAGCTTCATTTCAAATAGTAATGGCAGAAGAACTAAAAACCTTTTTAATGGAACAGTTAGTCCTACACACAAAAAAAATAAATAAAAAAAATTGTGATCAAGAAGCTTTCATCCAAATATTCTTGGAAATAAAATGAATTGTTCGTAAAATCTACCTATTATCTTAAATTCTCCTGAAGAGCGAATGTGTCTGTCTGTGTTGTCCTGTAATGAATTGGTGACTTATAGAGGTGTAGCCTGCCTCTCTCTCACCCAATAACAGCTGGAGATAGGCACCATTAATAAAGTTTTGTCAGTTGACTGAATCGTTTACAACAGTCGTATAAAATTGAATTAAATTATTTTTACGATTAATTTGTATATCTGTCCATTATCTGTTCACCCTTGTTGGGTTGGGAGTTGCTGGTGCCTATCTCCAGCTGCGTTCTGGGTCAGGTTGTTTCTGTGGGGTCAGGTACCCACAGAAACAACCATGCACACACACTCACACCTAGGGAGAATTTGGAAAGATCAATTAACCTTACAGTCATGTTTTTGGACTGTGGGAGGAAGCCGCACATGGACAGGCAGAATACGCAAACTCCGTGCAGAAAGACCCCAGGCTGGGAATCGAACCCAGGACCTTCTTGCTGCAAGTCAACAGTGCTACCAACTGCACCACTGTATACTGTGTATACATTTAAAGAATTTTATATTTTCACAACTTAATATTTTATGTATTTTTTCATTCAAATCTGCTTAAATTACTACGTAAATACAAAATGTCTAAATTAGTTAATGTTAACTCAGAACTAAACATAGAAAAATATAAGTATTAATATTGGCTTTAATTCTTGTTTTAATTTTATGGAGTCGATTTGGGTTATTCTTTGTGTTTTCACATAAATGAACTCACAATTAGCTAATACCAGAATGTAAGCGTGCTAATATGTATCATTTATCTTCACAGAATCTTAAAAAAATATTACTAAGACCAATTATGTAATGATAATTATAATATAGTGCAAATAGACACTACAACAGTCTCAAGAGAATGAGGCTTCTCTTGCCCTTTTTTGTTCTTTTTTTAGTTTTTCCACAGCTATTGTGAATTTTATGAAACAAAAAAGAGCTACTGTTTTTCTCTCTCCTGCTCTGTTTCTCTCTCACACATTCCTAAACTCAATTCAAACCTTTGTCCTAAATCTAACTTATGGGGACCAGAATTTGGGTCCCATGACGTGTTTGTTGTTGAAAAAAATTGCTTTTACAATGTTCTAAATATATGCGAGTGGTTCAGTAGTTGTTTTATAATCTTTCTTTCTGTCTTGTTTTTTTATTTTATTATTATTATTTGCAAAGGGATAAATGTTAAGTATATATATATATATATATATATATATATATATATATATATATATATATATATATATATATATATATATATATATATATATATATATATATATAATATATTAAAATGTCAAGGTGTTTGTTAGATTCCAGCTCCTCTTTTCACATGCCTCTGGGCAAGGCCTTGAACACCAAGTTGCCTACATGTCTGCACATTACTGTGTAAGCACAGACATGTTTATGGGTAGGAATGTCTGAATGTAGTTATAGTGCAGTGCGAGTAGCATGACTGGAAAGATAATATATAAAATCATTCCATTTACCATTTACAAATGCAAAAATTTACAATAACACACTGAGAATATGTAATAATTTGTAATGAACAGTAGGAAATATATGGCAAAAACATAAGTGAAGAAAAGAAGAACAAAATAGCAATTAATGTTTGTAAGTTAAAAACGTTCCTCTTCTGTATTTTCTATCCATAGGTTGCATTAACAGTCTTGGGAGGAAGTACAGAGGGCACTGAGAGTCATAAACGAGCTAAACAGGTAAATAGTGAAAATTTGGAAGGAAAATCCTACAATATTTTTCTTAAGAAATAAATGTATGTAACTAAATCTGCATTTGGCTTCTTTAGGAATCCTTATCACGTTCCAAAAGAAGATGGGTTCTGTCTACCATAGAACTGCAAGAGGAAATGGACGTGAAATACCCATACAAAATTTCTACGGTACAACACAGATTCTTTATATATATATATATATATATATATATATATATATATATATATATATATATATATACATATATATATATATATATATATATATATATATATATATATATATATATATATATTGGAAATACAATAATATGTCGGCTCAATGCCTAATCAAGGTTATTAATGCAAAAATCTGCCACCGATAGTTGATTCTTTCTCTTCTAGATGCACAATCTTAAGACAGTAGAAAAAGAATATTTGTTTGAAATAAAAGGAGATGGTGTGGACGAAGGACTGTTTAGCATTGATGAAACAACTGGAGAAGTCTATGTACATAAGCCCCTTGACAGGGAACAGAAGGAGTCCTATCATGTGAGGAACAATTCATCACTATTAATATGTGCTATTATTTGTAGTCATTACAAACTGTCATCTGAATAAAAAATAATCAACAGATCACATTTAATATCCTGGATAAATTTACAAGGGATCCAATTGACCGAGATCTATCTTTTGATGTGGAAGTACAAGACATAAATGATAACCCACCGAGGTTCACTAATCAGCTTCAGAAAAGTTACGATGTGAAAGAAAATACGAAAGAAGGTAAGTTCAGAAATGTTCAAATTTATCAAGTCTGCAGATTTTCTAAATTCTAAAACATTTATAAAAAAGTTTTTATAAAAACTTTCTGGTTGTAGATTTGAAAAAAATATTGACAAGTAAGGCTTTAAATGCTTGATTAATGTTAACTAAGTTTAAGGATAACATTTTCATATCTAGCCGACAAAAAAATTTGGCACGTGTGGATATACCTATACCTAAACATTCTTTCTACGCAGTTCAGTGAATCCTCTTTTTTTTTTTTTCCACAAATGTAATAAATGCATTATACATTATATATTATTTATGAGAACAATAAAAATGACAAAACCTTTTCTAGCTACTTTCATAATTTTCTTTGCCTTCCAGGAGAGTATCTGCCAGTGTCCATGGACATTGTAGACAACGATAAGCCAGGCACAATTAACTCAACAGTCGTGGTCACTGTGGGTAAACAAACCCCAGCTGAACCAAAAATTGGAATAAAAAGTGTTAATGGCAAACTACATCAACTCATAGCTGAAGAATGCTTTGACTATGATGTAGGTCTCAGTTTATTAAAATAATATAGTTTTTGGAAATGTATGCACTATGTAATTTTTAGGTCAAGCTAAAATATGTTTAACTACATTTTTCAGAAAGAAAAACACTTTGTTATTGTTATTACTGCATCTGATCATGGAAAACCACCAGCTTCCACAACTGAAGTTGTTGAACTCAATATTATTGACACAAACAGTCATCCACCCAAATTCAAGAAGAGAGAGGCAAGAATTACTTACGATATCAATGTTTGTTTTTTTTTACTAATTTGTAAATTCCACTAAATGTATTATTTCTCCATGTTTACAGTATGAAGCTCAGGCTAACGAAATGCAAACCAATGAAGAAATTTTAAGAGTTGGAGTAGATGATGAGGACACTCCCAACACTGACGGCTGGAGAGCCAAGTACTCCTTTATCAGCGGCAATGAAGATGGAACATACAATATTACCACTGACCCTATAACAAACGAGGGGATTATTGGTGTTGCCAAGGTAACTGTTTTACCACACCTTACAGAAAATGTTTATTCATAGTGGACTAAACTATGAGTTTAGCATAAGTATTGTTAACATAAGTATTATCAAGAGTTACTGAACATCTACACTTGTGTCTTCTTCAGGGGAAGAATTTTGACATAAATACTTTGGTAAAACTGCAACTCAGAGTTGAGAATATTGAACCTTTAAAAGTCTGTAAAGATGGAAAATTAATTGAAGATCTAAGCAACCTTCCACCAAAAGATTCTGTCAGCATCACAGTGAAAATGATTGACACTAATGACCCTCCGGTGTTCGAAAAAATTACAGCTGAGGTATATCACACAGAGGAATCAGAGGAAGGACAGGTGCTGTATACTCCTGTGGTTAAAGATGTTGACTCGAATAACATCAGGTATGTTCTCAACAAAACTGCATTTGTGTTCAGCTTGTTTGACCGGCATGAAATTATTTGCAAAGTCAATTAATAATTACAAACTTACTGCCTCACAACTGATCATAACCTAATGCGTACATTGGTGGAAGATGTGGTAATATGTATGTTTTAGGAAGAAAATAAAAATGAAAACAAAAAAATATGCTATTGAAGTACTGTACCTCATTTAAGATATGCATATTATGCCATAATCTCCCTTCAATGGGTTTCCCCCAATAATGTAAGAATCTCTGGGCAGGTATGATTGCAGTGTGTGGGTTTAGTGTGCCTGTCTTATTCGTAAAATAGAAATTACTGTAGTCCATATGTCTGATTTCTTGACATATGGACTACAGTAATTTCTATTTTACGAATAAGGTTTTGAGGTTGAATAGTGATATAAACAGTTTATTTTTCTCTTAATAATAAAATTGACCGACTGATTTTATTTTATTTTTTCCAGGTTTGAACTGTTAGAAGACCCTGCTGAATGGGTGACTATCGATGAAAAGACAGGAAAAATCACAACAATCGAAAAGATGGATAGAGAGTCACCTTATGTAGATGAGGACGATATTTACAGAATTGTTATTGCTGCCATTGATGATGGTATGACAAGACATTTCTAAACATTTGCAATAAAAAGGCATACTTTATTAATTATTTAACTGAACTGAAACAAATGACTTGTTCTGTGGTTTTCAAGGTTCACCTCCAGCCACAAGTACATGCACAGTCAGTGTCCACCTCAGGGATATCAATGACAACACTCCTACGCTGCTCAACAATACTGTCATTTTGTGTTCAAACGAAGCTAACAAGGTCATGGTGCGTGCTAAAGATGCTGATGCTGATCCTTACAGTGGCCCCTTCAGTTTCTCCTTGGCAGATGATAAAACTGCCACAGAACGCTGGAAAATAGATCCTACCTACGGTTAGTTCACACTTTGGCCTCACTACTAAAATTACCAAAGCATATACTCAAAATTGGGTCACATATATATTAACCTTTATGTAATAATAATAATTATTATTATTATTTTAATTATAATAATAATAATAAATTTCATTTGTATAGCACATTTCTAAAAATGCAAATATATTTTAGAGGAATCAAGTAATATTACAAATGGAGCACTTGAATACAACAAACAAAATTTTAAAAAAGTAGCATGTATTATATTACATATTTTACAAATGTATTTTTTTATAAACAGGTGAAGAGGTTGGCATTGTTTTGCTGAAGAAATCTCACTATGGTAAATACTCTGTACCAATACTGATTCGGGACAAACAGAGTCAAGTTAAGGAGGAGAAATTATACATTGAGGTGTGTGAGTGTGTCCAACCTGGTGTTTGCCCAAAGATCTTGTCAATAGGCCTTGGTCACGCTGCCATAGGAACAATTTGTGCAGGACTGCTTCCATTTCTATGTGAGTATAAAATTCTAAACTATCAGAATTATGAAAAGGTATATCTATCCTATGTGTGTGTAATGTTTTCACTTTTTGTTAAGTGAAAATATGACTTTTGGGTTTCCATTAGCTATAGGACAGAATCATGACTTCAGAGTCAATTCCTAAGAAAATAAATGCCTCCAAGAAATGGAGCACTGTGAAAGTTCAAATGAATGTGAAAAGCCTCTCCTCCCTCTGAAGCTGTTTCTTCCTTTATAGAATTTCCAGCTAGAAGACCCTTTTCTCAAAACTTAAAATATGTCACCAATTAGATGGTAGTTTGACAATTTTAATGATTAAACTATTTCTTTTGTTTCTTATCCTAAAGAAACGAAAAGAAAGGCTATAACACCGTTGATATAGTAAATCCACTGAAATAAATTAACTGAATTCTTATTCACATTTACATCCATTTTACCTTGTTGACAGGCAATTGAAAACTCATGAGAGATAAAATTAGAGTTAGCTTTATAAGTAAATAGAATTGGGGCGTGCTAACCCCCTGCGCCACCACAGCTCACCCCACGTTTGGAGGCCTTGAACCCACGGATGTCGCGGGTTCGACTCCCGGTCCCGCCGAGCTTTGTCGCATGTCTTCCCCCCTCTCCTCGCCCTCTTTCCTGTCTGCCTACTGTCAAAAATACGAGTCACTAGTGCCACAAAAATTCTTCTGACAAAAAAAAAAAAGTAAATAGAATTTGTAAACCTGGTGATCAAAATATTTTAATGTCTCCACAGTATTGCTCCTTCTTCTCAACTGCAAGGAACAACACTATGAGAAATATATAAAGAGTGGAAAATACACTCAGACAGTGATGAATTACAAACAAGAAGGACCGGGTACTGAATGCAATGTAAGTTGTGGAGTGACTATGCTGACTACGGAGAGACTGTCAATAAGACATCTCAGGATTGTCCTCTTTAAACAGTTAACTATTTTTATTCTGGCTTCAAAAACTCTAAAATTTGTCTTGCTTTACACTAAGGATCATATTGTACTTTGTATCATTCACTCCAATTTGTGTGTACAATTAGATTACATTTAAATAAATTGGATTCATCATGTATTTCTGAATTATTGGAATTTAATAGGACCACTTTTACTTCAGATTACATTTGATGTGAACTGGCGCTATATGAATAACCTAAAATGAATGGAGAGTGTGTATGATGCATTGCTACAGCAAACACATAGGTATTTATCTCTATTTCTTTGCCAGGATGCGTTAAAAATCATGCAATCAAAGAATATGGAGAGTAATCCAGACAGCACCAAGCTGAGCCATACACAGGTACTTCACTATTTTTATGTCTTCATTCCAATTCACGTCACAAAACCCTTTGACTGAATGAAAACTTTAAACTGGCACTAGGTCCTTGTAGTATTTATATTCTTCACCAGAGGGCGGAAAACAAATACAGAATTTAATCCAGCAGGTTATTAGGAAAGTCCTAACCTTTTTAAACAGTCAGTGGTCTCAGAAATGTGACTGTCAAATGTGATACATTTGGCGCTATTAAGGCAATTGTAAAATTAAAAAGTGAATTATCTGGCTATGTTTGTTAAATGTAGCAGGAAATGCATAATACAAATTAATTACGGAGTTCTAATTCAAGAATCATGTTGTACAATATTTAGAAGCAGACACAAGTCTTTTTTTTCACCTTTCAAATTTTCTAAAGTCCTTCAGGTAAATTTATTTATTCGAGTTCCTGCTTTATTCATTAGTTGACATCAACTAGATCACCAACACCGTCCCAGGCATTGTCAATAGTACATAAGCATCCAACACAAAAACCAGAAATTGTATTTAAGGGTTTAAGTCTTTTATTTTGTATCAAAGACTGAGTAATATCTATTGATCTATCCCGCTATTTATATCTGCTTCACCTTTAAACAGTACTTCAACTTTACTGTAACGTATGTTCACAGATTGAATCCAACATGAACCTAACAGAGTCTCAGCCTCTTGTTCACTTCCAACAAATGAATAAGGAGGATTACACAGTGAGTAATTATGGCTGAATCGTCTGGTCTTTCTCCATAACTACAGTTATGAAGGATAGTTTTGGATAGTTTTTTAAAGTAAAGCTATTTTACAAAACAATACTGCAGTCAATATGAATAACTTAAATATCACTGTTTATTTAATCCATCATCTAAAACCTAATCATGGCCATCCATCCAAACTAACAAGTCCAGGTAAGAAGAACAATAATACATGGAATGGCCAAGGGATCACAGTAACCCTTGAGGAGTGGCAGACATCCTTAGTTCAGGTTGACAAAATGTCTTTATAGGACAAAGATTAGATAAGCACTTCATAAATCTGGTCTTTATGGAAGAATTAAACTTTTAAAACTTTTAAAAGAAAGGCATGAGTAGTCACTTTTGCAGTTTGCCACAGGCCTTTTTTTTTTTGAGCAATCTCTACCAAGCTTTGAAGAAAATCTGTTAGAAGCTCCTTTAAATTTAAGACAGGATTACCAGTCATTTTGAACAAGATTAAATATTACAGCCAGACTTACAACTGAATGATTCATGTGAAGCAAAATATACCCATTTCACAAAGAATATGGAGAGCCTTTACGAATGTGAATATTAAAATGTTGCCTGAGAATGTAAGTTAGATTTATGGTCTATGCTTATTCATTGTGCCAGGAAATGTATAATTCAAAAATAATTACTGAGTGTAATTCAAGAATCATTTTGTGCAATATTTACAAGCAGACATTTTTCTTTATTTTCAGTTTTCAAATTTGCTAAAGTCCTTTTGGTGAATGTATTTATTCAAGTTCAGAATCAGAATTAGAATCCTTTTATTGTTATTGTTCAGAAGGACAACAAAAAAAGACGTGCCTGAGGCTGATCAAAGCTTAAGTAAATTAAATGTTAAATATTGGTCTGTGCAGGTATTTATGTCTGTGGTGCCTTTAGACAGTACTTTAGCTTTACTGTAATGTATATTCACAGATGAACTCCAACATGAAGCACCTTAGTCTCATCCAAAGAAGCAAAAGGGTGGGTCATGTGGTGAGTAATTATGACTAACTCATCTGGTCTTTCTCCATAATTACAGTTGTGAAGGATACAGTTTGGATAAGTTTTGTAAAATAATATAAAACTCCAGTATCTGAATAGTTCAAAAGTGAGTGTTTAATACATCATCTAAAACCTAAAAACAGGACAGAGGGAAGAAGGAGTAGTGACCCCTTGTACTTTTCTCCATACCTATGAGGTCAAATCATATAGTGCAATACCATATCACTGGTCAATCTATCCGCCAAATTATTTTGTGTTGTATTTATATTTTTTATTTATATTTTATTTATATTCTTATTCCTTACTTATTTTTGCTTAATTTAGGGTTTTGGCTACTCACATTTAGTGTGTACCTTTGTATTTAATTTGTATTTTTTGTATTCTTTTGTATTTTGCGCACTGTGTGCCACTTTTCTGCCTGTAAGCTGCTGGTAACTTCAATTTCCTGAGGGAGTCTTCCCAAGGGATCAATAAAGTACGAGTCTAAGTCTAAGTCTAACTATAATGTATTTCCACAGAATGCATATCAGCATCTGAGAGGCATGACTACAAATACCAGAGTGAGTATGGCTATATCATTTGATCTTTCTCAATAACGGTGCGATTTATAGAGTTCTGTCACTTTGGTTCTGTTGGTGAATGTTGACTAGTACACCACAAGCTTTAAAGCACAAGAGGGTAATTAAAATAACATTTTTGAAGAACGATCCCTAGCCAAAACTTTCTAATTGTTTTTTTAAGTAAAGTTAATACTCAAACACACACTTAGCATTTACTAATAAAAATCCTAAACATTAGGAAGATCCAGAAGTAAGTCAGGATATCCATCTGAAACTTCACTGAGAGAAGGATATTCCGATTTTGCAGTTTTTCAATTCTGCTGCTCTCCGCTGTATAATGATCTAAAAAGCATAGTAATTAATATAGCTATTTTTACTGCATTTGAAAAAAAAAGACAAAAAACTTTTTAAAAGCAATTGTGCATTGTACCCAATGAGACAAATTAGGCTTCAAAATATGTAAAAAAAAACAAAAATCAAATAAAAATCTGCCAATATGTCTGAAAGAGTATCAATGTATCACTGACAAAGAAAACATTTAGAAAAGTTAAAAGATGAAGCTAAAGATGTGCTTTTTTCCTTAAATCAGCGCTCAACAGTGTCATCCAACATGAGGAGCACAGTTCAGGTAATCAGACCTCTTCATCTCTGATAACATTTTTTTACTCCATTCAACAAATTTCAATATAGCATTTTATGCAAGGAATCAACATCAAATGGTATATGCATGTCTAAAACAGGTTAATGATACATGCAATTCATGTATCTAATGCTGTCCTAAGACAGCATTAGAGGTTGAATTCCATTTTGAATAAGATTAAATATCACAGCCAAAGTTACAATAAAATTAATTTAATCAAACATGTTTATGTGCTAAAATATCCCAGTTGATGCCCAAACCCGAATCCAATTGAGGGTTTTTGGCAAAAGTTAGAAATAGCTCTTCTGAGCTATTTTGCAGAAGAATGGGGGAAAATGTATGTGTTAACATGCACTGCAAGACAAAATCAAGTTAATTACTTGCAAGTAGTAGGCATTCCTAGCAATATAATTTGCAATGCTCCTCTTAGAGGCAGCAATAATACAAAATACGATTACTGGCTTAGACCACCCTCTCTTTATGATGTCCAGCTCTTTGGAAAATCTGTGCAAGCATATGTATGTTTTCAGATGAAGTAGGCATTTCCGAAAGAATGTGCTTCTCAAGAACTTTTGAGGAACCCGCCTGATTGGACAAACGATGGCTTTATTACAACAAAATCTAAAATTGTTCAACATTCATGAACACTAATGTAATTGTAACACTCACGACGTGTTTACAGTTAAAATCAATAATAATAGGACCAATGCTAGGTTCGGCTGCTGGAGTGGAAATTGAGCAAATATATAAATGACCACAGACTAGGAAAATAGGTTTAAATGCTGGCTTATTATTTGTTGAGAAAGAGGAAAAAAAGAATAACAATATAAATACAGACAATTTGACAAACAATGACACAAAATCAATTCAAAATAGTTTCCTGTTCTTCCATAATAATCAATATAATTCCTGTTTGAACTTTTAAACCTAATGTTAGGTTTTAAGGGATACTGTTTATTTAACCTAAGTTGTAGTTCTAATTAAGTTCGAGCTAAGAAGGTTAATCTAATTGATTTTATTCTTTTAAAATCTATTTTAGGTGTTTAGTTTTATTTTTTTATTTTAAGAGATTATGAGATTATATATTATATATATTATAATTATATATATATATATATATATATATATATATATATATATATATATATATATATATATATATATATATATATATATATATATATTATAATTATATATATATATATTAACTAACTGGTTTCTAATTTTACCCAACAGAAAATGTACAATCCACACCAATAATGTGGGTGAATACAATTCAAAAGAAAAAATAAACACAATAATAATAATCCAGTAAAAACACTGAATAACTTGTGCTCCAAATCAGTCTTTCCTTATGATGATCTTGAAGGGTTAATTCCGGTTCTCTGGATCCGCTTTTCCTTAGCAGGAAAACATGGGCAGATCATACCGGTTAGGATGATTCGAAGTGTCCAGCGTAGTGCGCAACTCCCGTTATACAGCAGTTACTGGGTTCCTGGGTCAACGGCTCGCCATCTCGTCTCTCGCCATCTCGTCTCTCGCCATCGTAGTCCAAATTCTCCTCCAAAAATGAGGAAAAAGTTTCCAGCTGTTCGTAGCGTTGCTAATCGGCGGTTCGCTTTGATCTCTCTCCCTTCGCTCAGTACAACTCTTTGCTCCCTCGCTCTCTCTCAGTCTGCCCCGCTCTCTTCCCCTAGTGCAGGGATGGAGCTAGTCACCTTGACAGCACAGCAATGTTACCCTTCAGAATTACACTTGACCGTTCTAACTGCTGACAAAATAAATAAGCTTCACACAGTTTCAAATCAAACAAAATAAAATACATGAATATATATTACACTGTAATTTTTATTTTATTTTTTTATTATTATTTATTTATTTGAAACTATTTTGCCCTATTTATTCTGAATATATTTCCTATTTACGCGTTTTATAATTATTTATTATGAAATAGTAATTAGTTCATTCGAGTGAAGGCTATTTCAACCTGGGTTACATAATCAGATTATGATAAATGTATAAAATATCAACCCAATAGAAATGTATGCAGAAATTAGTGCATTTTCAGTTTTGTTTTTTTAATAGCTGACATTAAAGTTTTCTTTTGGCAGAGCTTCCCCTTCAACCATTCTATGAGAACCTGGTCAGATAATCTTACTAACAGTGATTTTCAGAGGGTAAGATTGTTTTATCTCGCACATTACACATATGTCAACTTTGAATGTTCTACAATATAATATGTGGCAATTTTAGAAATGACAAAGTCAAAGACACAGTAGTGCATTTGATAAAATATAATGAAAAAATACATTTTTAGTTCATAATCACATGAAGCACAATTATTGGGTCTCTTATGTGGCAACCAATGTATTTTTAACTAAAAATCCATTGGTTAAAATTGAGTTTGAGTGTTTTATGTTGATGGGGTTTTGTTTATTCATTTGAATCCACAGTCTCTTTCAGAGATTTGTGATGATGAAGAAAATGGATCAAATGACAACATCAAGATTTATGATTATGAGGGGAGTGAGAGAAGTTCTGCGTCACAGTATTCGCTGTTTCCTGACGACCAAGATTTAAGCTTCTTGAATGATCTCGGACCAGAGTTCAACACCTTGGAAAAGATCATTACAGAAAACAAGCAGAGAAGTCTGTAATTTAATACAAGCTAACCTCTAGTTTGGTATTAAAGAGTTGCAAGTGGACTTTTTGATAAGTGTATGAACAGAATAGTTAGATTTTGTACATAATGTATATATACAGATCATGCACCTTTAAAGTCAAGTACTACACATTTAAAGTTATCCACCACACATAGATTGTGTGTAAAAACAGCTGCAGTATGAAACAGGTCATGCTCTGTTGATTATGAAAAGTTGCTCTTTATTAGAAATTGAATGTACTTATTTGTGTCTTACTTTGCTGAACGGGCAGAATTAGTTCTATTATTATTATGGATAACGTTTCAGTTCTGGTGCTTTGAATGTCTTTTTTTCCCAACTACAGGTACACTTGTGGACCCAAGGATTTATTTATTTTTTTAATAACGTGTACAGTGTATTAAGCTTTTATTTGTTAATGTTCTGGGTGTCTTCATCTGGTGAGACTGAAAAGACACCTAGATTGAGAAACTGACTTTCAGTTTGTACATGTAAGTCATATTTTTAATAGTCTTTTCTGGGAATGCTGAACGGATGTTGCTGAAAGTTTGACTTGAGACGTCAACAATATAATGGGCTGCTAAGCCACGAAGAGTTCAATATTTAATGTGTAGTACCAGGCAGAAGAAGCTTAAAAAAGTAGAGCCTTCTTATTGTGTGGTTGGGTAGACAGAAAATTGACATGTTACAGTTCTGTTAGTTCACAATAAACAACTTGTCAAACAGCTGTCTGTGTGACCTTGTTAAAAGGTGTATTTCTCAGTCCAGCTTCAGTTCCAATTTGTAGTCCATGTTTGGTAGAGTATGACATTGCTTCCGCTATTCTACCAAAGATGCAACATAGGGTGACTTGTGGAAACATAAAAAAACTCAGAAAATTCGTAAGAAAGGAAAATGTATTTTATGAACTATTTTTAATCAAAATGTGTCTGCTTTAGTCAACTTATCAAGTCCAAACTTATCTGGGACTTGTCAGACAACACACTTCAGACAACTGCTGAAGTGTGGCATTGGATATGATTTATTTTCACAAAAACAGCACAAACTTCAACAGACTTAATATATGCAAGGAACAAACCTGATCTCAGCTGAATAGAACAGAAAATCTAGATAGCACAAATGAAACTACTGAGGATAATTAAGAAAACTAAAACACTGATACAAGAACATACCAGGAATAACCCAAAGAGAAAAAATAAGTATCAGGACTAAAGAATAAACTACAAAAAAGACATGAACTGGCATGACAAAACCTAATGAGTAAAAGAAACTGGCAGAATACCAAAAGACTTAAACTGGAATAAACTAAACACAACAGAAACTGTTCAGGAAGTGACACAACAAAATAACTTATAAAAGCAGACCTACCAAAAAGAACTAATAATGCAAAAACTGTGAACCATGAAGAACACAACAAACCAATACAAGTCTGTCCTAAGCTGTTTTTTTTTTTTTTTTTTTTTGTGCTGCCGGAGTTGTGCTAACAGCACAATAGTGAGCTATTGCTTATATGCATTCCAAAAAGATTTTTACTTCCATGCAACCGTTGCATTTTGCACTTTTTCATTAGGCTCTAATATTGAGAACTGATAGTATCGTTAGGAGTTTGCATGTCAATGTGTTTGTGAATGGATGAATGACTGAATGCAGTGCAAAGCGCCTTTGGGATCCTTGGAACTTGATAAAGTGTAACAAGCCAATGACCATTTGTAAAATTTCCACTTCAAATCTTTGGGAAATTTGAATATTGGATGACCAATGCATGTAATAATTATTATATGGTAAATATGATCATACTTTAAAACTATTGCAGAAATTTTTTTACAGCTGTCTATCAGAAAATTAAAGACATTTTTCACAAAAAGAGCAATTCACAAAAATGTAATTGAGTCTTCTCAGAGTAGGTAGGTAGGCACAATTGGAAAATTGAGTGGAAGGACAAAACAGTGGCAGAAAAATACAGAGAAATGCAGCCTTCAGAGCATTGAGGAGCCAGCGACACTGTATGGATATACTTTTTTAGAAACTATCATTTTTTTATTTATTGCACTTTAAATTGAATTGCAAAAACAAATTGCCTTTCCTCTGATTTTTTCTATTTGTTAAAATGCTCTACAAAAACTGTAAATTTTTTATCCAGTTAGACTGTTTTTGGACTGTATAAAGGAATATATCAAGAATGAAACACCAAATGTTGGTTTTGTTTTTTTATTTATAATAAATTAAAATACATAAAAAATTGTCCATTACTAATTATTGTCCTCTACCACCGAACTGGTTTGACTCCCTCACTCCTATCATCTTGGAGGTAGCCATCATACAACTCTCTGAGGTGGAGAATGAGTTCCTCTGTATTTTGTCCCGTCAGAGCTGAAACTGGGATGACCCGCTGTGTTACCTGGCTCTTCAGGGTCTCTAGCTTCTCCCGGGCTTCCGGTAGGTCCATTTTATTGGCGACAACAGCCTGAGGCCGCTGGGACAGACCGGGCTCATATTGGTCCAGTTCATAACACAGGTGCTGCAGCTGGGTCCAGGGCTCTGGCGCTGAGAGGTCCAAAACAAAGAGGAGGAAGCGACAGCGCTCAATGTGACGTAAGAAGGAGATCCCCAGGCCTCGATTTAGATGGGCACCTCGAATGATCCCTGGGATGTCAGCAACTGCACATGCAGAATATGAAATTATGAGATAATAAATCACTTAAATGAAGTTTGAAACTTTTTAGAACATTGATACTCATAACCAGGCTGAAGCCCTGCTTCCTTAAAAAATAAATGCCACAGAAATAATTAAAATCTCATCATAAATAACTGTGCTTAAGCAAATTTGTGTTTTTCTTAAAGATAAGTACCTGCAACTTGCTCATGATCCCTATATTCAACGATTCCTACATGTGGATTGAGTGTTGTAAACGGGTAGGCCGCCACAGCCGGCCTGGCATTGGAGATGGCTCTTAATAGTGATGATTTGCCAGCATTTGGAAAGCCAATCTGAAAACATGACGAAAGAAAAAAATATTAAATTCACAAGAAAAACTGAAATGCAATATCTGAAATGCCTCCTCAGATATAAGATCTTCTTCCCACCAGTCCAGCATGAGCCATGGTGCGTAGCTCCAGCTGAAGAACCCGCTCCTGGCCTGCCATGCCTGGGGTCGCCGTCATAGGTGCCCGGTTCTCATTTGAGAGAAAAAAACGATTTCCTTTCCCACCTGCACCTCCAAATACTGCCAAATACTCCTGGCCATGCTCAGCGAGGTCCATTATGGTCATGCCCTGCTCTTTCACCACTGTTCCAACTGGTACCTTTAGTAAGGAAGTCCAAATGTAAAGTTAGATCAGGCCATAAGCTCAAAACAAGCATATAAGTTTTTCATGATAAAACGCATCGACTCACAGAAATGTAGGTTGAGTTGCCATTGCGACCATAGCAGTTCTTATTGCTCCCTGACTGCCCATCCTCTGCTTTGTAAACTGGAGTCACTTGGGCCAATGATTTAACAAACCGGTTGGCTGAAAGCAAAGAAAATAAAACCTGTGAATGAAAGACTCGGCATCGATACATTTTTGAAAAATTTGTAAGATATTTCATTTTCATGGCTATTTTTGTTTTAGTAAAACCTAAAACAAAATATTATAAATTCCGACAATTTTTTAAAATATATTCCTGATTTTTAACCAGGCACTTACTATGTAATATATATTTATTTATATTAACTTCTAAATAGTTTGCAAGTAACTAAAATCTAAAATTCAGCTCTCCAAAAATCTATTACATTACAGCAATTTAAAAAAAAATACTATTAATACTTAAATATGTTAATCTGGTCACTTTATAATTTGCATAATTGTGACACGACAGATGTCCAACATCAGTCACTAATACCCTCCAAAAGGAGTGAAAGCTGTAAAAGTTCACTGTTACAGAAGCCGTATGTTTACAGAGGGCCATATAAAAGGGATAATAAGCACAGCCTTAAAATTATTGAAAAGCAATTCAATAGTTTTGGGCACATTAATTCCCATTCCTTGTTTTGAGCCACTCCTGAACCAGAGAAAATGTCAAAAGCGCCATACCTTTATTAAAAAAGAGTGACTGGACTATCTTTGCCAATTTTAAAGGCATGGTAATAGTTTTAATATTTATTCACTATGCTGCAGTGCGTTTTATAAAATAAATACATCCTAAACCTTTCATTAGAGGAAATACATTTGTTGTGGTACTACAACATGTTCAGTCACAGTCACCAGGCGCAACACTCATCATCACCCGTTGGTTTCACAACTCTTGGTTGGGATCTATTGGATTCATTTTTATCATTTTAATTAGATCGACAGGTGGGTGTATTAATCCATGTGCATTTGTTGAAACAAATGAGATGGATGACTGACTTACCCTTTATAATGATGCTACCTCCATCACCGCCATTTCCTCCATCAGGCCCACCCCATTCTTTTCGGGGCTCGCTGTGGAAGCTGCAGGCACCCTTACCCCCTGAACCAGCAACCAACTTCACACGACGACAGTCCACAAAGTGACGTGTCTGTGGATGACAATATGAAAAGCTTAATAGAATACAAATAAAGGTAATCCTGCACTATTGATAATTAAATAAATCTATGCTATTTTTAAATTAAACTGTCAATAAAAACATTTAGCTGTTTGAAGTTAAACACTTTTATATCATTATTTCAGAGGTGTTTGCACCATTTCTCATCAGAAGAAGATTTGGTTAAATAAATATTATATTAACTCTACATTTGCATGGGTATGACTGATTTTGAGTTAGAATGTAAAATGCAGTCAACTAACAGTTCTTTAGAAGTAATGCTTTAAGCAAAGGATGTAAACTAAACTCTGCTCTTTTGTCAAGTCAAAATTAAGCAAATAAAACCTGCAACTTACAAGTAAAATGTATAGCTACATATTCTGAAATGTATGTCTGAATAATGTAGGAACTGGGATTTTTTATGTCCTGGTCAGATCCTCACACTTTGCAGACACTTGTTTAAACATTATAAGCAGTTTAAACACATACCAACTTCTTTTCGGACAGCTCATTCTTCCTCTTGTTTCCACTGACTTTCCCGTGAAGCGTTGTGGATGTGCAAACCTCTCTGAAGAAACCCTCATTCCGCCTCCACAGCACTGATCCTGGCGCACAACTTGGACCGAACAAACTCCGAGCTTTCTTACCTACGTCTTGTCTTAGACTGCATCTGTAAATGACCTCAGCGGAGACTGCTTTACCCCTCGACAACAGCATCAACGTCTTGCCCTTCAACATGCTGCCAAAGCGTTACAAATAAACGCCGGGTTTGTCACATTGACTGTTGGAACGGCTAATTTCCGCTACGACAAACAAAAATACACGACAAGTAATTAAATAGCTAGGGAAATGATCGAGTAAACTCCAGATAAACCTCCTCCTCGAAAAGTTTGACGTATTCGTTACGTTCGTTAAATTTACACTACCAGGTGCACATTTTTGACTGTAAACTAATGGGTCTACGGAAACAGCGAAGGGACACAAGTCCTTTTCTTCATCGTCGACTATCTTGGAGGTTTTGCAGTTATTCTGCTGCATCTCTGCCACCTCGTGGCTTCATTCGTCACTACAGCAATTGTTCTGCAGAGTTTATCTGGGATACTGAAAATAATAATAGTATGTTTCTGTTTTTCTTTCCTGGCATCGCCATCATTCAGCAATCCTCATTTAAACTCTGA